AGCAGAAAGCTGTTGCCCATTCTGAAGTTTCTTATAAAAAGGGAAGAGCCACCCAGGTGATATTAGTGGAAAACTATTAGAAAATGGGGGTAAGACAGGATATAATCTCCTTGAAACAGTTGGCATAGTCTCTACATTTAGTAGCTAATAAATTTAGCTTTCAGGAAGAAATGCAAACAAGCTGCATTTACTAGTTTTTAAGAATGAAAATGAATGCATTAATTATGTGCAATGTTACCATCTGAAATTTTGGCCAAGGACTAGAAATCTCTTCCCAGACTTGAAGCCTAAACCCAAGGGTTTTCAACCATAAATTTACTGCCCTGTAAAAGGACAGATAAATGCCTAAGCAAGTGCCTCATTACTGTCAGAGGAATGATGTGTTGTTTCATTTTACTGTTGTGTTTTCGTGGTTATTAGAGTGAAGGTTGAGCCAGCCTTTCAATTATAAGTAAACTTCTTTTAAGGAACTGCAGTTTAACCCGAGAAGAAAACTCACAGAGAGCATTTAGGTAAGGTGAAAAAATTAAAATACTGGCAAGTGCTTGGATACCCTTTGGGCTCAGCAGTTCTTCACTTCTTGAGGGCCCAAATTAGGTGCTGTTTCTTTTCCTCTGTGAATAGATTCCTCCCACCTAGGATGCCTGTTCCACTGAGAACCATCTTAGTTTAAACCAACTTAGTTTAAGCAGGATATAAAAGACAACTCAGAGAGAATCAGTAAAGCACTGGGTGCTGCACCCCTTGCTCCCTTGGGGCTAAACCCTGAGGTGATGCTGCCCAGGTCACTGCCCTCTTCCCACTGGGATGGTGGCAGGTAAGGTGAGGGGCCAGATGAGGGGGGTGAGTGCCCACCTTGAGAAGGGACGTGTGCAGATTTGGCTCTTCCCTATAAAATGGCCTTGGGAGTCAGGTGGCTATACTGAATCTCTTTTGGCCACCAGGCAGTTCCATGATGAATATGACTGTTCCTCATCAAGACTATTTAGAGCTTGCAATAAATTCCTCATTTTTGCTCCAAGTGAGTAACAGGAGAAGTTGGGTTTTGCTAAGTATCTTACCTTCATCAGCTGCCACAGCTGTCAGTGGTCTGTGGTGATTACTGAAAATAGGATTGCATTTCATAAATCAATGTGCATATGCTCTTTGAGTGGAGCAGCCCCCCACACTTGGCTCCATTTTGCTTCTCCCTCCTTTTTCCCCTTCCTTGCTTTGTTTTGCTTTTGAGTGATCATGAGGCACAGATGTCATGTAAGGGTTTCTGGTTTGCATGAGCAGCAGAAGTGTAACACATGCTCCAGTCATGGCTTATACCAAAAAAACAAATCAAAATAAAAGCTTTCCAAGTGAAAAAGGTAGCATTTGAAGCTGATGCATCCTTATAAAGGTGACATTATAGGCTGCTCATGGGATAGGCTAGTGAGATACAAGCAGAGGCCTCCCATGGCACCAGACCTCCCTAATACAGAGAGGAACTGCTGAGTACTTACTGACTGTAGCCACCATCTTCCCTCATCCTGTCTGTGCTGCTCAGGAGACATAGAGGAGCTTGCAGAGAAGGAGTGAAGCTGGACATGGAAACAGGGTGAGGAAAGGTGCCTTTTTGTTTCCCAGTACCCAATGCAGTGATTAAATATTTATTTTAATTGGCAATAAATTAATTTTCTCCAGGTGGAGTCTGTTTCCTGTGTAACAGTAATTGGTAAGGAATCTACCTGTCTTAATCTCCACCCATAAGCTTTCTCACTGCTGTTCTTTCTCTTTCCTTCATCCCACTGAGGAGAGGATTGAGAGCAGCTGGGTAGGAGTCTGGATGCCAGCCAAGGCTACCCCAACACCACCCCCAAAAAAATCCCTGCAAAGAAGTCCTACTGCTGAATGCCAGGACTTTGTTCTGCTATCCAGGAGGCTCACAAATCCAGAGACAGCGAAGGGCTGCAGCTGCAATGAGGTAACAGAAAGGCGTATGTAGTGGGTTTCTGTGGCTGGGTTTTGGTAGTAGGGGGGCTACAGGGGTGGCTTCTGTTAGAAGCTGCTAGAGGCTTCCCCTGTTCTGTGGAGCCAATGCCAGCCAGCTCCAGGGCAGACTTCCTGCCGCTGGCCAAGGCTGAGCCAATTAGAAGTGATAGTAACACCTCTGTGATATTTAAGAACAAAAGACTGTTGCGCAGAAGAAATTCCAGCCAGGGAAGAGCGGAGTGAGAACATGGGAATAACAACGTAGACACCAAGGTCAGTACAGAAGGAGGGGCAGGAGGTGCTCCAGGCACTGGAGCTGTGGCCCCTGCAGCCCGTGGTGCAGACCATGGTGGAGCAGCTGTGCCCCTGCAGCCCATGGAGGACCATCGGGGTGCAGAGACCCACCTGCAGCCCATGGAGCAGGTGGATGCATGAAGGAGGCTGTGACCCCGTGGGAGGCCCAAGATGCAGCAGAGTCCTGCGGGAGACCTGCAGCCTGTGGAGAGGGAAGCCCACACTGGAGCAGGTTTTTCCCTGGTAGGACTTGTGGCCCCTGTGGGGGACCCATGTCGGTACAGCTCATTCATGAAGCACTGCACCCTATGGAGGAGTGACCCACGGGACAGCAGTTTGGGAAGAACTGCTGCCCGAGGGATGGACTCACGTTGGAGAGGTCCATCAAGGACTGTCTCCCATGGGAGGGACCCCACGGGAGCAGGGGAAGGACTCCTCTCTCTGAGCAGTGGCAGAAACAACAACTGACTGTAACCCCCATTCCCCATCCCCCTGCACCACTGGGGGGGAGGAGGGAGAACATGGAAGAAAGGAGCAGTGGGGGGAAGGTGTTTCTAAGACTGTTTTATTTCTCACTCTTTGGCTCTTGTCCTGTTAATAATAAATATAAGTACTATCCCCTCTTTGAGTCTTGTTTTGCCCATGAAGGCAATCAGTCACTGACCTCTCCCAGTTCTTATCTCTACTCATGAAATCTTAGCTGTTGTTTTTCTCTCTCCTCTGTCCAGTTGCAGAGGGAGAGTGAGAGAGGCTTTAGTGGGTACCTGGTATCTGGCCAGGGTCAACCCACTACAGCGTAAAACCAGAGAGAAACAAGGAAGTAAAGAGATCAGTCTGCAAAACCTCATGGACCAGAGATAGTGGGACAATGGGTAGCTATATAGGGTAGGAGTTCAGAGCACAAAAAGCCACAAATGAGACTGTGATGTAAAACAGGAGATACACACATAGTCCAGGGAATCTGTTTGCTGGTTTTCTCCCATGTCTTGTCTGTCCCTCCTCCCACTGCAACCAACTGACCAACTAACCACAGCTTCTCACTTCCTAAATCATTTCCAGGAAGACTGCATTTTCCACAACCCTTCACAGCGGGCCAGCTGGGTTTAGTGCTGGGTAAGAAGCAAGATTATTCTTGTTATTTCTTCTTCCCTTTGATCTTTCCCTCTCTCTTTTTTTTTTTTTCTGATTTCAGAAATACTCCTCTTCATTATTGGACCAAACTAGGACCTTTTTGAATCAGAAAGCTAAAAACCAAGATCCTAATCCAGACAGGCTGAAAGCAAAGAAGAGGGGCTTGATATGTCAACTGAGAGCCATAGTCACTGGACTCCTGCAGTGGCTCATTTTTTTTCTGGCTAACTTGGTGGGCCTCGGATTCACTCTTTCTTCAAAGAGGACTAGAAATGTTCTGTTCATTGATGTTGTTGTGTGCACTCCCAAAACATATTTTGGTTTCAGTGAATTTCTAGTATTTTCCAAATAGCTCCAGTTGCTTTGGGTTTTTTTGTGTAGAAAAACTGTGCTTCTTGGTGAAGGGTACAGTGGGTTGTACAGTAACGGAAGAAATATGAATCACTTTCCATTTGCCTCTCTGCAGCACTCCATTCTCCCATGTGACACTGTGAATAAGGCAAAAAATTTAAGTCTATTTAAGCTCCATTCCAAGCCTGACTCCTTCACATAATATAGCTCATTTAAATTCTGTCCTTCATGTTTCCTGGCTTTCTTGCTTCATGTTTATTGAAGTGTGTATGTGAATTTCTAATAACCCATGTTTAGATGGATGTTTGATGCCCAAATTATCCAGAAAATTTGAGAAATGGTGCTTTTTGCAACAAAAGAGTTCCTTTGCTTGTCCACTTAAAAAATCAATTTGTGAAGCTTTCTGGCATTTTCTCCCTTTATTTTACAACCAGAAAAAAAAATAAAATCATTGTTAGTTTTTTCTTTTAGTTAAGTCAGATATTCAGTTCCTTGAAAATCAAACCTTGACATCTGTAGAGAAATTAACATGCAAAACCAAAGTATTCAGATGTTTTGACTTTCACAGCATTTCTCCTACTACCTCAGCTTTTGGCAATTGAAACAATCCCCCCAAATTTATAAACATATGCAAAATGGTTCCAAATCCACTATTTGTTTGGAAAAAAGAAAATGAATCAAACAAGTCAACCCTAAACATGCGTCTCTTAGAGATAATAACTGACAAACAACGGAAGAGACAACACAACTCCACTTTGAATTTCTGCTTGGTTTTCCTTGAGGATTTTTTTATTGGTAATGGATAATGAGGAAGAAGTATTTTTGCACACAAATGAGGAAGAGTTATTTGTCCACACATAAATGCCCTCAGTGTAATATTTTTACTTTAGTTCATCACTATGAACATCATGTGCAGGACACACTGATGGCCATTTAGAGCACTGAGTTTCTCAGCAATGCAAAATGAAGGTAATGCTGTGCTTTCGCCCAGTCAAAGCTTTTAAATAAATGCCCTCAGTATCTGATTTTTATCCTCATGGTACTGTTTGCTCAGTGGATGGGTCTGTCTGCTCAGTAGATAGGGCTTTTTTATATTTTGTCCACCCTATTTTTGATATATCTTCCTTTTTGTTCCTAAAACTGAGGAGAAAGCAGATATACAGAACAGTTGTGTTTGTTAACAGACATGTTTTAATCTAACCCGTGGGAAAAAAAAATCTACTATTACAAGCTGCTTCTTGTGGCTGAAGCACTGTGGTTACCAAGGCTCTGCTACTTGTTATGTTGTTCCAAGATCATAATGTCACGTCTAAGTGTGCTGACAGTCCTGCAATCCCACCTTGGCCTTCCACAGCAGACTGTGGAGGGACTGCTTTCTTCACACGAAGGTCAGTACCTCACTAAGACATGAAGTACAGCTCCCAAAGACATTTATAAAATTTCACGAGGACAATCTTCAACTGGAAAGGCTGCTTGCCCCTCAGTAGCCCAGTCTGTCTCCTAACAACCCATGTCCATAAGAATACTAGCATAATATTAATAAGTGAATTGGCAAGGGAATTTATATGCATACACTGTGTGTCTAGACCATCAAATTTGCGTTTGTTCTGTATTTTGTCCCAAGGACACTGCAACAAAGGTGTTAGTTGTCACTCAGGCTGCATCTGAAGCAAGGCACCTAATGTTCTTGGTGAGGAAGCCTCAGTGGAGAGCAGGGGTAGATTCTCTCTAAGGCTGTACCCTGCAAACAGTCTGCAGGTGAGCCAGTCTGCACCAGACCACATGCACAGGCTCAGGGTTGCTCCAGGCATGAACCACAAGGGCAGCATGGACATAAGAATCCAAGGTCACAGTCAGTACCTGTAAGAGACACTGTGTATGGAGACAGAACAACCACAGACCGAACAATTTACAACACCATATAGTACAGAAAAAAGACATTTCCGAGTGTATTTATTGAGAAATAGTAAAGATGTACATAATTTTACAAGCTTTTAATTTTAATTTACATTTTTTTAAATTAGGTAGGCCCTAATAAACTATAATCTGCTAATACATGACAGAGACCCTTGGCTTCAAATATTCAAAATGCTGCTATTGCTGGGATTTTGGCTTCTGTCACTTCAGCTTCTCTTCAGAGATACTAAATACCATATTCATTTACAGCATATGCCTGCTGTCAATCCTTTAAAGCAGAGATGACTTTTGAACTGAAACCCTGGATCTGGGTACAACCTCATAGCTAAAACCTAGTCTCCCTATCCTGGGTCAAGTCTATATTCTCCATAAACTCTGCAATTCTGATGGAATACAGGACCTCATCCACCCCAAGATGAAGTGTGCTTGTATAGGGGACTTTGATTTGGCCTCATCTTCCTTGTCAATGCTTGCACTGGAACACACTCCACACTGCTTTAGATGCAAACACTGCTGCTCACACTGGATTCTAACGAAAACAGATCTGGGAGCTAGCTGCCACCTAGATCTTTGCGCACAATCTCCACAGTCATCTAAAAATAAGCTTATTTTTTAGTTTTTTTCTGTTCTCTTTTACTGAACTGCACGGTTTTATATCTATTTAAGATACCAGCTTGTGACTGCAATCACACATTTTTTGTATTCTGCAAGCTGACTACTCAAATGCCTAATGAATGTTCATGTTCTGTACTGAGAACTGCTAGAGTATCAGCAAAAGGCGTTATATTCTATACTTCATTTGCCAAAAATACTTGCAAACATGACCTTTGCTCAATCTTGGTTGTTTAGGAGAGGCTGAAGGGAAGGTAGTTTCTGATTAATATGCTTTTGAATTAAAATGCACCCAGTGTCAAAACCAACCTTCAGTTTAATCTTCTTAGGCCCACTTGGAACAGCCTGATGTCTCTGCCTTGGTTATTTTCTCCTCTGTATTGTTCATGCAGGAAAATATATCAGTCTAATTTCTCCCTACAAGGAATGTTCTACACACTTTTATTTAAAGATATATAGCAATTTTTGCTTAGCAACAGAGTATTCATGCTCTGAAATTTTGTATTGTGATGGCTTTTGAGCTAAATCCTTGAATTGTCTTTGGATTCACATTTTTGTAGATTACTTGTTTTTATAATTAACTTCTGCTATGGTAGCACACAGAACTTTGTCATGCTCTGTAAAACTTTCCTCCTTTTCCCTCCATCTCCTCTCTAGAAGTCCAGTATATAAATTGAGCTGCATCCACCACAAAAAGCTAAGCACAACTCCAATGAAGGCACTGCAAACCTTTTGTAAGAACCAACGGTTGTTGCTGGGCCACTTTTTGTTCTTACATCTGATTAGGAAAAGAACACTGAAAAACTAATTTGAGAAATATTATTGCTTCATGCATTTAAAGAACACTGTGACTTGTCAAAAAAAAAAGAAAAAAGAAAAAAAAAAGCTAGTTCACCATACCAATTTTTTGGCTTATCATGCTTTTACATTGAGATTTTTATGCAATGCTAGAACTTGAGAAAGTCTTTGAAGTTTTTTTCTTATTCCAGTAGAAACACCTTTTCCCACCTGAAACACTACAAAAAGCTGTTAACTACAGTTTTTTATAAAAAAGGTACTTCCAGGACAAATCTGACTAGACAAGTACTGAAAATATAAAGAAGGTATGCATAATTTTTACTTTTTGGACACATAAATCTATCACCCAAATAGCTAGTCTATAGTGATCTCATATGTGGCAAGTCTCATGTGATGGCTTTAAACTGCCCAGTGATAACAAATTATTGTTAGTTTGTTGTGTGGTGACTTGCATATCCAACTCCAACACAGAGAAGAAATCCCATTTTTATGAATTTATAGAAGAGTTTTGCCTTGTACTTTTAGTGGCTCCGGCCTTTCACCAACCAACTAACTGTCATGTAACCTCAACAGAGTTTAAATCAGCAAAGTCACTACCTGGTAACTATGACATATGTTGGCTTCACAGCACAGCGAGGGAAGATTTTCACCTCAGTGCCAACTACTGTGCCTGTGCAGGCATCCCAGAGTTTGCATTTAACACCTTCTCTTGCATACACCTCTTCATGCAGTTCAGTGCACAGACAACCTCAGATGTCTCCATATACAGTCTTAAAAATTGAAAAAAGTAGTTTCCATTTTCTGCAATGAGAGACGAACCACCTGCTGTTGTTTCAGAGTGCTCAAGCTGCACATAGAGCACTAAGGACCTCGTGTACAATATGGATGTTGCTCATTTTCCAAAGATGAAAAATAGCATGTTCAAACTCGCAAGATAATCATCACTGTATGGACCGTAACTTTTAATAGAAATTATGAAAGTTAAGGTAATACATTTCTCAATATTTCTTTATAAAAATCATCTCTTTATCCTCTCCTCAGATACCTGACATACTATTGAAATTTCTGGTTCCAAAACATTTATGGTTGTCCCTGTGTAGTATTTTGTGCAATCAAAAATGGGTGAGGAAAATCATGCTGACCCAAAACAAAATACATGGAAATGTGGAACACAATTGAAAAACTACCAAAATGCTACTTGGCCAATGTCATTATGCCAGTAACTTCAGCAGCTTGTGTTGATCCTGAATATGCTAAATGGAGCATTGTTTGCACATCTGACTGACTTGAGTTTCTTTAGTAATTTTTCATTCCTAATGGAATTGTGTTTTATTCCCCATCTGGGCTTAACTCCACATTTTCACCTTCCAGTAATGCCACCTGAACACTTTGTCTGCTGGGTGGAACTTTGTTCTTTTATACACAGCAGATGCACTCACTGTATGGCTTTCAGTGGACTTGGTAATTAATGAATATGGCTCTTAGTTCTCTTGTTGGAGAATCAAGAAATGATGCCGGTGTCAAACACTTTTTTTAACCTTTCAACGTAGCGGTCCCCAATATTAACTTCCCAACGTGCTCTTAACTTTTCTCAAACAATCAGTGGAATTATTCAGAATCCAAATAAAAACACAAACTTTCCTTTATTATTTTTTTTTTTTACTGCAGCAAATACTTAAATGTTTTGGTGCAGCTCTGCTCTTTGATTTCTTTGAATTTCAAATTTGGTCATGTCAAAAATTACCACGAAGGTTTTTCTTTGTTTATCTACAGAGTTTTTAAGCAAAATTACATTATAACACACGAACACAATCTTCTCTTTAAGGCACAACACATCATTATGACATTCTGTTTGCCAAACTTATAAAAGAGACAATATTATATAACCCTTTCCCTCCCCTGCACCCCCAAAAGAAAGAAAAATTGCATCCACTTCCAAAATCAGCTGCTAACAAAGTCACAGTAAATTATTTTCATCAATAATTTACACAAATTACAGGTCTAGACAGGATTGTCATTATACAGTCTGAGTGCATTCCAATTCAGATTTTCTGGGTTAGGTAGGCTAAAGTCTGGTTCAAACCTCAGTGCTGAGAATATATCCCATTTTGAGGAATGTTGTTGAACACCACCTTGTTGGCTGGAAAACGCATTTTGGTGCTTTGCCAGTTTGAGTCCTTTGTTCACTCCTGTCAGGGCTCACTTGGTGTGTACCAGCAACCTCCACAGTTTTAATTCATTTAAAAATGTTGCATATATAAGACCATAGAGCTTCCTTATGTAGCACTAATGTTTTAACTTCATTCAGCAATCTGAATTCTTCAATTTGGAATTTTTAATTCCAAATATTTCTTCCCTTCTTAAGACAATTCATATGTGTAAAGCCAGAGGCATTGAATCACACATAAAAATTCAGTGTACTTGAAATATATATATAAAAAAAAGGATCGCCAACTTTAGAACACAGTTACAAATACTCTAGTTCCAGTGCTTGATGGAGAGCCAAGAGGTCCGAATGACTGGATATCCTCCAGAAAGGCATGTTGTGCTGTGTTTGTTAGAGGAGGGAAAAGGTCAGGAAAGATGAACACCGTGATACAGGGTGGTATATGACACACGAGGCTAGTTAGATTACCACCACGTATTTTACATCACTGTTTCTGGATTGATTTTTGGTATTAAAGTACTGACAAAAATCAGACCAAAATAGATCTGAGCTTAATAGCTCAACTGAAATTAAAATAATTAGATAGTCTTTCTTAATAGTTTCTTTGGAAACAGCCTGTTACTTATTAAGAGCTACTTGCTTAATGTTAGCATGCAAACCCATACAAAGGAGCATTAATAGGAAATGCCTTTCTGCTCCACTTATCTGACTGCAAAATACTGAATGATCACTTAAAGGGCTATAAGACTTCCATTAAAAAAAGCTTCTCACTCAACACTTTGAAACAGCGTTGAATTTCATTTTTTCTCCATCTAGGGGAAAAAGAAATCTCTTTTGATACGAAAATAACACACTTCTGGTTTAAGAAAAGATAATTTGTGTTGGAGAAAGCATCAGGATCTGAGACGTGCAAGTATATGCACTATTCTCCTTCAACAATTCATCAGCATATTAAAAAAACCCATACTTTCATGTTGAGTTCAGATCTATTTGTAATGTGCCATATTCATCCCTCTCTCTGAATTCTGCACCTATCCATGCAATATAGTCAACATAAGAAAAAAAGCATGCCAAACCAGAAAACACACAATCAAACCACCATCGTTTAGCACAAATTATAAAAGACCCATCACCAATACTGCACCTATATTAAGGAACCATTTGGAATGAGCATTTTGGTTATTTTCATTTTCTTTCCATTCCAACTACAACACTATGAGGGTACTTTATTTTGCTACTCCTAGCTCAAGGATATTTACATCACTTGTCCTGTACAGACATTGTCAGGCAAAAATTACAGTTTCTGCACACTTCCAGGGGTTATACTAGAAAGTATGGCACAAATTACTAATTTTATCTGTTTCTGAACACTGAAAATTTTTCTGCTGAAATTGGACTTGAATTATCATCATAAGAAAATTGAATATTTATAAGGAAAGAGTTCTTTTTTTTCAGAACCATAGATTTGGTACATAATCTCTATGTTGTGTTCTTTTTCCTTCAGCAGATACATCTCTCTTGAAGCAAATTATATGTTTATCATATTTGCTCCAGTAAATTATGGATCTTCATCTATGTTAGCAAAACATTTGCACAGTCCTTTACATGTTTTTCCACATTCTCTGTAATACTTCTCTTGAAACATCCCTGATTTCAATATTTAGAGAAAAACACCACCCAACCATCATGTTATAGCCCTTTCTATCTCTTCTGCTTATCTTTTGATTTGCTTGAAGCTAGTCAGACATTTTTGCTGCAATATTTCTTCATTTATTTTAAAAATAATTTTGTGGGGTTTCCATTTCTTTCCAAAGCCAAGTGAAGCAAATGCTAGAATCCAAATGGTTCGTTTACTCTAGTTTTGATCTCATCATGCTCTTGGCTGCCTTGCATCTGTGGACTGAAATTATTTGTCATTTTGTGCAACACTGACAGAAATGCAAACAGAAAGGCTTGCATTAGTAGCTACGTATCACACCAACATTTCAGAAGACAGGTTACCTTTTTTGCTGCCTGTTCTTCTTCTACACCATCCCCAATTACAACATATACTACTTTTCTGCCAAACCTTTGCATTATTCGTTCAAAGCAACTTTCTTTTCCTGGAAGATAAATGAGATAAGAGTTCAGAGTGAAGTTACCTGATTAGCTGCATGTTCCTCATCTCGGCCATCTCCAATCACAACATAAGTTATGTTAGTGCCAAATCTGGACACTATACGCTCAAAACAGCTCTCTTTGCCTGAAAAACAAGGCACTATTTATTCAAAATATCAAGTGAGTTATAGTGAAGCCTTACAAAGGATTTTTGGAGTGGTAAGACATTGCTACTACTACTTTTGAAAGGTTCCCAGCCTTAGAGCCAAATCGGGTAAGAAGTAATGAATTCCCTTATTGACACTAAGCTGTTGCAGGTAAAGCTAAATTTATTAATTATTACAGGAAAGCCATGAAGGTAAAAGAATTAGCAACTCTGCAAAAATTAATAGGTTTGTTAATTAAACCATACATTTACAAACCATAGTACAAAAAAGGCACACAGTTATGAATACAATAGGGAAGTGCTCTTTTGGCATCCACCAATGCAGTTTCTGTTAGTAATAATTTTCATCACCATCTCTGACGTATTACGCCTCAGGAAAAAGTTTGTGGAGCTGTGGCCTTACTTACATAGAGCTGAATGTCAGAGCAGAGGTTATTTTAACAAAAGTTCTGCTCAGGTTTGAATTCACAGAACACTTTTCTTCATGGTTTTCTGCACGTTTTTTGTTTTCTCCACCACACTGAGGAATTTCTGAGGCTTTTAATCAGTATCTTTATTCCTTCAGGCATCATTTAAAATAAGGCAACTTTGGAATTCTTCGACATAAAGATATCTGAATTTATGCAATGTCTAAATCTTATAACTAAAGCTCCTAAGCGTCAAGAAAGTGTTTTGGAATACATCCATTTCTGCCAGAAAAAAAATATTGGTAATGCAGTGTAGTGAGAATGAATGAAAGAATAATTTTCTTACCTATTTTGGTTGCACTGTAAATATTTTCAATAGGAAAAGCTCCTCCTAAACTGTATAGTAGAACTTTTGCAAGTGCTGGGATAAGCTGGGTCGTTGTTACCAATACGTTTACACAATTACTCCTAAAATGAGAGAAACGGTGAAAGTTTAAAGAGTTTAGAAACAGTATCCAAATGCTGATGAAATGAACTAGCTGTGAAGAGCATATCCAGATTTCCTCAACATTGACTTTCACTCACACAGTAGTGCTGTTCAGCACTATCACTTACAGAAAAATGTACATAAAACTTTGGAAAAAATCCTTTAAAATATATGCAGGGCCTGATTTTTGTAGGAAGTATTCCACAGTGGTTTATAGAAAACAAGTCCTTGAATATGAGTCCACTAAAACACAGACATTTAAGACTACCAAGTACCTCCAAAAAGAGGTATTTTAATGCTTTGAAAGCACAATTTTCATGCTGGCAATAAACTGGCAGTAGCCATCAGCAATATAAAGGACTTAAGAGAACACAAAAACATTTTTTGTTACTCTTTAAGGGAAATAAACAGCCAGTACACATTTCTCCATAATAACATTAGTTCCTTCATGTTTCAAGAGTAGGAATATTTCTAAGAGGGAGGATAATCATGGTAATAAGCTGGCATCAAATGGCGAGGATGGAAACTTGAATGGAGAAGTTGTGCTAGCAGCTATACAACAGAAAACTCAGAGTCAGGCTACTTTAGGCACTGACAGGCTGGAACATGAGCGTGACCATGGCGTGGTTGGAGCTGAGAGCAAATAGTTATGATTTTTCCTTCTGGTATTTCCATAAATTCCAAGCAAGACCTTAGGCTACTATTTCTGACTTAAGGTATCTCAATTTCCTGTCAATAATGTAAGTAATGTTTAGCTGACTCATGGGTAGCTTCTGAAGATTTATAGTTGTACAGTTCTTTGAAGACGAGACAAAAGACTATTATTTAACAATTAGGAGTAACTGATAACAGTTTTCTAGACTCATCTACCCATGCTCAACTGGCCTTCGTTACCAAAAGTCTTTTTGAAGACTAACAATTTGGAAAGGAATGCAGAGCTAAACACAGCTTATACAATCACAATTTTTTTACTTTTCTCCTGATGTGTTTAGGACACTGTTAAGTTAATAACTATTAAAAGATAAACATATTGCAAAACTTGTTACATTGAAAATAAGATTTTCATGTCTTTCCAAGTTTGTCTTTCCACTTGATGCTAAGTCTTCTCCCAGACATGTTCAGAAAGCAAGATGACTTAATGTTTTTCTTTTCTATGGTTTAAACCCAGGATTTTTTAGGATTTCTGGTAAGATACATATTGCGTGGCTGATTAAGCAGCAGCAGTGTTCATACTTTCATTGTTTCAAAGAACAGTACATTTTATGTCTCATGACTGGGAACCCAGACTTTTAACTCAGTTAAAAGAGATTTTTGCTCTTCTGACAACTTAAGGTATATGTTAATATATACTGATTTGCTTGGAAGGACAGAAGGAAAATGTTCTTGTGTTCTGGTATTTATACAGTATTTAGGTAGCACTGTGAATAAGCACAAACATTGAAGGACAGAGCAGAGATATGTGGAATTCAGAGAATGCTGTCCACAAGATAATAAATTAAAAGCTGCCTCAGAATTCTACAACACATTTTCAATGTACACATATTTTAGAAGACATTTCATACTATCTTTAGTAAATGGTGGAATCACTTAAAATGAAACCACTTTCCACTTTTCCCGTGTCCTATTCCAAAGTCATAGTAGATCTGTTCTGTTCTTTAAAGGCACTCATTTACCGTAAGCTAAAATGAAAAAAATAGCCATTACATATCCAAAACTAGAACCTTTTTTTACAGTAGACTCAGATACATACCTTGTGCTGATAATTGATAATGATTTAAGTGCATTTGTTAGCCAGGAGTCTGTCAAAGCTTCAATCTCTGCTCTTAATTGCAACCATGCATCTCTTTTAGCGGGACCCAGGAGTCCTTTTATGTAAAAGAGAAAGAAAAATAGAATTAAATTCTGTATTAGCTGGAATGCATTGGGGTTTATGGTAATTGTTTATATTTTAAATTCCACTAGAACTTGAACAAATATCAAAGAGAAAAATCTATTGTCTTCAACCATCAGTAAATCTTTGGTTTTATTTGTACTTCGCTGCATCAAGCAATGTCAGAGAATATTTTAGATACTAATAATTAGTTGGATTTTTTCATCTATTCAGGCTGCTTTACTGCATTTCAAAGTATACCTTTCAGAAATACATATTTTTTAAACCAACTCCTCACATATATCTTACTCTCAAATTATCAGAGGCAGTGACAAGAAGATCCATGTCATCAGGATCACAGGCAGAGACAGTCACAAAAGAAGGTACTTTAGAATAAACTGGCCTTTGCAGTATCTGCATATGTTTAAAACTGCCCTGCTTATGACTCTGTATATAGGTGAACCGCAGGTTACACATATGAAAATACATTTGTTTGCTGATGGCTTGCTCTTCATGTCCTATTATAGTTAGTAATAATAGCTCCTTCTATAGCATTTACAGCCCTGGAACAACTGCACATCTTATGTTCTCAGATCTCAGTCTTTAAAAGCTCAAAATCTCTTTTTGTGTATAAATTGTAAGATATTTAAAAATACCCAGCCTATTGAACGTTGAGACATGAATTCTTTGGAACCAAGATATTTTAAAATTAGATTTCATCCTGGAAGAACAAGGAAGCAGGCTTCATGCCCTTTAGTATCCCTCTTCTAAAACCCTATGTTCCCAAGAAATGGTGATGACTGTCTTCAAAAATCTGAAATGAAGCAACCTAAAAATATATAGATTAGTCTAGCCTTCTGTTGCCTTCTAGCCACTATTCTGAAATAAACAGATAAATACATGATAAGTAGGTTATTAAAAAGGCTAAGAAGTAGAGGATGAATGAATAAACTTGCCCACTAAGGATGAATTATATTTCAGAAGCAGGATTTCTGGGAGTACAATGCATCACGTATCTGCATTCTGCCTTTGCAATGATTGTTCCTCTTAGTGTAATTCCTTATGTTGTGCTCTTGGACTTGAGCTCTTACCATTGTAAAAAGTTTTATGAAATGCAGCAGCTTTAGAATCTTAGATGCATTAAGAGATATAAGAAAACCCAGTAAACTTTTGGTTGATACTGATTATTAGTATACAAAAACTATTCATGACACCAATAAAGGGCAAGGGAGGGCAAGTGAAAGTCAGACCTCTACTACCACCCTTTGGTCCTATTGCTTCATCCTTTGGCATGTAAAAACTCTAAACTACTAAGAGTGAAAATACATGACTGTGGCAATTATTGAAGACTTCTAAGTATTCCCTGTTCTCACAGTCTCTTTTTGAATGGATCAGTTGACATATTCACCTCCTCGGAAGAGGGCTGGCTGTCTCTGCAAGTCACAGGACTCTCCACAACAGATTCTTTTGGTTCTGCTGCTCAATTACCTGCACATCTGCTGGTGAGGACATGAGCAAGTCCATGAAGTAAAACAGTAACAGGAAAGCTCTTGGCCCAAATGAGACTTAGACTTATTGAGAACACAACTGTGTAAGCTACAGAGTCAACAAAAGGGGCTATTGGCATGGCAGCGCTAAAATTTTCTTGAATCCACTGGTGAAAACAGACTAGCAGGTACCCAGCAGAGTTCGGGAGACTGTGTGTTGTTACCAACTAGATCATGAAAATGTAGGATGGAAATGGCCATCCACAAACAATTTGTGCCGTGGAAACTATACAACATCTTTCCTAGAGGCAGCATATTTGAGACAGAATAAGTGGTTCAACCAATCAGTACAGTAAGAATACCTGGGTCTAAAGCAGGAAGATGGGCTTTTTTGGAACCAAATGAAAGCCTACTTGTTTTTTCCAACTCTTTCTCCTGCACAACAGCACAACACTGGCTTTGCTGCTCCAGTCAGTAGCTTTCAACAGCCCATGGTCCAGTCACATCACTTTCCATTCCCTCAGTGGCTTCCCAGGCACATTCACTTGGTAGGAGTTCATCACCACGCAGTTTAGACTGATCAGCAGTCTAAGTTCATTTTGACAATTAAACTCACCTCCTATGTTGTTCTTGTAAGTATTATACAACTCTTTTACTCTTCTGTAACGGAAAGCCAGCTTCCTCATCCAGTCAACCCCTCCTCTTACACCTGTTGGCAGACAAAGGTTTGCACTACTTGCAGCTGCATGGAAGCCATCAGTTGCAAAACTGTAGGTACTGCAAACACCCAAAATACAGTAAAAATAAATACAATGTATTCCTGTAAATGCTCAAATTATTTAATCTTTGAAAATAAAAAAAATAAACAAATGCTGTATCTTACCTTAGGTCTTGTCCGTTATCATCAGAAGAAACATCATCTATATGAACTTGATCACACTCCTGTTGAAAACAAACAAACAAACCCAAATGATAAGTTATCTTATAAAAGAGTGTAATCACCATTCCTGGAAGTCTTCAAAAGGCATGTGGATGTGGCACTTGAGGATATGGTTTAGTGCTGAACATGGTGGGCTAGGTTAACGGTGGGCTGGTTGGACTAGATGACATTAGAAGTCTTTTCCAACCTTAATGATTGTATGATTCTACGCTCACCACAGGCTTAGTACAGATGTTGAAGAAAGGACCCGTGCAGTGCACCAACTACACCAGAAGATGGCAGAGTGGGTACACTCACAGCTTCCTATCACCATCGTCTTTAAAATAATAAAACCTTCAACTCCTACATAGTGTAAATTACTAGTTAAAACGGGCCTTTAGAAAAGCAATATGCAATTTTGGTGTAATTTTAGATTATTTTAATTGTAAAATCCCAACAATTGCAAGTCTCATTTATAGTCTCCTTAGTATACCAATACTTAAAAATCACCTAAATCATATTTTCCCACTCCTTAGAAGCTAATGATGAAGAACCTCAACAGGCATATGACTTATGTTAAGTAGTTTGGACATGTATCAGGTTCTTTTATTAATTTATGCAAGTGCCTTTTGCTGGGAAATCACAGATAATCATCAATCCTGAAGAACTTCATTGTTTCCTGGTTTTGGAAGGGATGGAAGCAACATGAGGGAACTGAGGTACACTAGAAAACTGAACTCCCCTCCAAGATGGTTTTATAATTGGACATCTATCAAATATCCTTATCTGAACAGTGGTTATAGCAGAAAGGTAAGAAAATGTGGGGGAAGCACAATAAATAAATAAGTCAAGCCATCACGCATCGTATTAACTGTTTTCAGCAGTTGTTTGAACTAACATCTTAACCCAAAGACACACCTGAAATTCAGTGTCCAGAGATTTTACTTTGCTGTATGTAATTTTTTAATATTTAAAATAGTTATTGTTAACATAGTCCTAAGATGTTTTAAGGAAAAGTTCAAGGATGTATTTAAAAATTACTCCCCAATTAATACTTTCCAATAATTTACTCTCCTTACTTAGGCAAAATGAGGTTGAGCTTTCAAAATGCACAGCTCTGTGCCTCAAAGAAAGAGTTGTCTGAGTCATCTAAGTCAAATAAAGTTGCTGACAAGCAGCACTTAATTCAAGCTCTCTGTGACATGCAAGAAGACACAGTTCTAAGTTTCCAATCTCTGTCTCATAAGAGTGCTAAGTTGTACAGATAAAGGATAAGTCTGAGCAGAGGAGTTATTTCCAACTGTGTATGCCAAAAGTTCCTAGAGCGTGAGTTGGGGAAATTAACATTTCATCTGTTTTGTCTGCTTTGCAGTGAACGAAAACTTAACAGATTTTACCCACGTGAAGTAAGTTGTTAAAAAACATATATAAAATAAATATATATGATTTCATTTTCAAATACGTAATTTCATTTCATCATACAAGCGATCATAATTTAAAATATTGACTCAAAGCTAAAAAAATGAGTTACCAAACTCTGCTCATCTGGCTGAGTCCATTAAGACAGGTATGACAGAGATGTGTTCAAGGAACAGAAGTGAAGCATTCTTCTCCCCACTGGAGAAATAAAATTTTTTTGGTTCTGTTTGAGGAGATTATCTTGAGCTGTAGAATATTTTAAAGAAGCTGCTCTGGGATGTAAATAGTAGATGAAAAGAGAAAGTAAAGGGGAAGGGGCAGTTGAAATTAAAGATTGATTTATTATTTACACTCCAGAAAAAAAATGCAACTATGCTTCACCCCATGTAGCACAAGAACTCAAAAATCAAGACAAAAAGCCCCACTCTTTATTTTGCAGTATCTAGCTTCCTAATCACCTTCACAGGTTTCCCTGGAACTGGTGAAAGTGTAAGTTTAAAAGTTTAAAAATAATTTCTATGGATTTGAAGGTGTACTAATTAAATGAAGGGCACACAAAAGCCTTGATGGATAAGTCAGTTTGGATTTTGTCAATCCTTTCAGCTACATTGTTCCAGCCTTGAAAATTTCAGATAACTGTTCTGCTGATAATTTCGTTATTAAATTAAATATCAGTGGGTGGCAAAGTCTCAGCTGTTTACTTTATTTTTGTTGTTGCCTCACAGTTTGTTCATTGTGATTCTGTGATTGACTCCAGGAATAGGAGGGTACCCTTCAGTTTTCTGATTACTTGTCCCTTGAAGAACATTGTTAAGTATACAGGAGATAAAGCCCAACAGCAGTCTCCAGCTTACTCCTTTCTCCCCTTCATCATCTTCTCTCAGCACACTGGCAACTTACATTTGCTGAGCAGCAAATAACTCCTGTGCTCACAACTTCTTGCTTTTGTTTACTTTGTTTTCTTGTTTACTTACTACTTGACCTGTTTACCTTTTACAAGTTCACTTATATGGAGTCAAAAAAACTTGCCATAAAAAAAAGAAAAAGCAGATGGGTTGAGCAGATTTGAGATAGTTCTCTACTTTTTCTCAAAAGAAACAGGAAACTGGTAGCACAGCACAACATCTGAGTTTGCTTTTAAACAACACCAAACAGTTATGGGGAGGAAGGAAAGAAAGCAAGCTCTCTGACACTGTAAATGTTAAAGTAAAATACTTTTCACATCAGCTGCAGTACTGGTTAAGCTCAAGTCACAGTGGTTCATTGTCAGTGCAAGGTCAAAACTTAAAAAACATAAAAATATATTTCCTATTACTGTGACTATAGGAAAGGAATCTAGGTACAATATCTAGCTTTTGCTTGAAGCAATACTAACTTAAATTATATCTGAGCGCAGTCAATTCTTTCCAGTGATTTTTAGAGCCTGAAAATTTGAGAATACAGAATCAACAAATCATCCATAAAAATTATCCTCCTGAAATGGACAGTAATGTCATTATTCAGTAAAAACACTGACTTACGACACTGAACACAAAACTGTTATTAATGAGAGGATATTCAGAACTATGCTTTCTTAGGCTATACAGAAAACTCCTTTCAATGTATATGCTTCAGTCTCTGTTAAAACTAGTTTGACCTGCCTCCCAAATTCTGAGACTTACCTAAATTCTATTTTTTATTTCTCATTTCTATTTCTAATGAAGAAAAAAAAAAGAAAAAATCTCCTTTAAAATATGGTAGGATTATCATAAAAATGGAAATATAATTCAGTTTGTTGGAAACAAATACTCTTTTTTCTTCATTGTCCTGAGAGTGGAGGGGGATAACCAAATTGGAAGACTCACATCTGAGTGCCTACTTGTAATTTATAGAAATTGAGGGGTTTTGTATGCATAAAATGCATTACCAACATTTCTAAAAGCTGTCTTAAAATTAATACTGAAATTTGGAGAAAATCCTATTCTTTACCTGGTTGACAAGAGAATTCCTTAGTTGGATATAATAACAAAACTGAGTCCCATCTCTAAGTGTTGTTTAGGCACACGAACCTTTTAGAGCACCATACTCCTATTTTTATGGCAAAACACCAACTGCCCTCCCAAGCAATACTTCTCAAGCTAACTAAAATTTATACACTGAGAATGCAATAGCTGGAGAACAGTCTAGCCTGAAATAAAAGTGCAGCTTGGTTGATCAGAACATGGATTACTGGGTCAGCAGGGAATGTCTCAGCAGATCAGAATTTCTGCATCAGCAGCCATTGTAGTGAGACAGATTTGCATAAAGGAAGGAAAACTTTATTTTTGTGATAACTTCAATAACTCGGTTATTATTACTAGACCCTGGTATGTAACCAAGAAAGACAGGGGGAAAAAGAGAGCGTAGAGGACATTGTGACTGAAGTCAATATAACAGGAATAGAGGTTAAGTAGTACATTAGAGTTGTCATGTCCAGTGCCTTGAGGTTTACTGTGGGATGAAGATGGAAGCAAGACAGAAGGTAGGGGACATGAGGGTTCACCATTAAAAAAGTGAGATGACGAAAGGTAAGTAATCAGCCTAGTAAAAAAAGGCCTATCTCACTTCTTCCAGTAAGAACTGAAGGTCTCATGTCTTGATGGCCACGCTTGATCAGCAGCTCAGCATTAAGCTCTGCTCTCCTTGTGAGGATGGAGAGAGGAAGATAAAGACAGATGGAGAGAGCAAGAGAGATGAGAGAGAGACCCCAAGTCACAACCGGGGAATTCTCAGAATTCATTATACGTTCATCATGCAGATTCACTAGAATATTCAGTAATGGCCATGTGCTCTGCAAACATATTTAAAAAGCCAGATTTATTCATCAGTTTATTAAAGGATGCTTCTACATGCTTTGCCACATTTTTTTATTTGCTAAGAAGATAGAAAATTGCTAGTCTTCTCACTTCTGCATACATGCCAGATTGTATGCATACTACTCATCTCAGTACATGAACTTTGAAATTTTATTAGAGAGGTATATTTTGGTAATTTTATAAGAGAGTTGGTTTTGAAACAAAGATTAATTCTGGGCTATAAAATGCTTAATTTCTTATAGCAGCTGTGATTATTGATTGAATATAGAAACTGTTTTTAATCAAATCAAACTGACTGAGTTACGAGACTCTCCAAGATAGTCCCCAAGTAGTACTTTTTGATTTATCTAAAACTGGAAACTATTTGGATACTGTTCAAGCTCTGGAATGAGCTGGTGCATGAGGTTTTGGACAGGATATTAAAACCTCCTGACAAAGACTATCCAAAATGTGATGATCTATCTATGACAGCTGAACCTGTGATTTGTAAAGAAAATAAAAAATGAGAGAAAGGTAGAAAGCTTCAATAGCCATAAGCAAGAATAAAGAGGGATGGAAGGAGGGCAAAGCTCCATTTTTGCTGAACTCCTCCACTCGAACTCAGCACAAGATTGAAGAACTCTGGGTATATTCTACCAAATTGCTTAAAATTCATTCGTGTTGCATGAAATCTGAATGCACAGGGGAAAAGGTCTGCTAAAGAGAAATTGAAGAAATGCTTTGGAAAATTTACTTGGTGTCTCTCCCTGGTACAGGGCACCAGAAGAAGAACATCCACCAAATGCACTTGCACTGTCAGGTGATGACTCACTAGGACTGCAATAAAACACTGGGAAAGGCATGTCCAGGGCTTTATTTCTTAGGTTTCTGCTGCTGGAAGGAGGAAGTTGCAGCTCAGGTGTGGGGTGAAGTAGATTCTAGTTTCTTGACTTAAAAAGATCTAAGAATAGATGAGGTCTACAAGGGGTAGCAAAGGCAACCACACACTGGTACCTTCTGCTTTTCTTACTGCCTACAGTTGTTGAAGGAACAAAAGACACACTAAAAAAATCAACAACCCAGAGGATGGAAAAATCTCACTTATTCTTATTTTTTCTATTCTCTCACCTTCCTCTGGGATTCTGAACAAAACATCAAGTCTTCCAGCTGCCATTAGTGGCAAATATCTGTCCATGGGGGAAATCTGGGATCCCCTCTGAATAAGAATACAACTGTTTTAGACCAGGGGAAGGTCTGAAAAGCCCATAGATCAATTTGAAAACTGTTTTTCCACCCTGTCTCTTGATGCACATGGTTATAAGACTATCATTTTCCATGCTAAAAGATCCAGACTCCCAGAGTGAAATAAAAAACCTGTGAAGCCCAGCTGATGAGCGTGCTTCCCAGACCACTGTCCCTGCAGTAGTCCATCCATGTGCTTCTGATAGGTAATCTGTCCACATCAGGCACTCCCTAGGGAGAGGTCTTTTCTGACCAGTTGCCAAACTGTACACCCTGGGTATACTGTGACAACACATGTGGTTGCCTGGTTACCTTGGGAAAAGACAGCACTGATGAATACATTATAGTCCCAGCTCTCTGATGCTACAGTCTTTGAGGTAAATGAAGAATCTTCTCCATTTGAACAAGAAGTGGGGGCCTGTGGCTAAAAGGCTACTCAGGTATGGCAAGAGAAGAACACAGACCCTTGTGATTGGATGATGGCACCCACTGAAAGTGAATATAAAGAATTTCAAGAGAAGAACGTGAGGCACATATTTTCCCCTCCTGGATATGACAGCAGACAGCTCTAAGTCCATGGAAACTGAAAAGATTTCTAGGACATAGAAAGGCATGGGTAGTATGTAGATTGTCTCATTGAGTTTCATGGAAGGACTCTGGTGCCACAGGCAGTCAGTGCCACCTGGCTAACCTCTCTCTGATTAGAGTAGGACAAACCTAAAGACTACAGAGGCAGTAAATGTCACACACAATAAACACTAATGCACAGCAAATCCACCATGTTAACAAAACAGGAGCAATGGTGTTTACATTCCTTTGATCTTACCTCTAAATCATTAAAAAATAAATGTGTGTCAGCAAGATTAAAAATCATTTCTTCCATTCTCAGTCCAAGCGTCACTGCCATTGGTGGATCCTTAAAAAACAGAAAGCAAGGTTAACTACTTACACACTTGTAAGTTATGTCAGAACTACTTTAAAATTTGTTGTATTCAAAGTGTTTTGAAAAATTAACACAGTAAGAAATTTCTCTGAAATCCTTTCAGTATTAAGCTACTTTAATATGATACTGTAAGAAGAGACTGCTAAACCTGCGCGAGAAAATCTGAGGAGCTGTGGATGTTGAAAAATCAAGCTTTTTGAAAGGTGAGGAATTTACAACCTGGCTGAACTTACAGGAAAAAACCTGGTGGCCATAAACATACAGATAAACAAGCATAAAGAAGGCTGGAAACAGGGAAGGAACTTTTCACTAAAGAGATATGTAGGAAAAATACTGTGATAGGAAGGTGTGACTTAAGTGGCCTTTTCCATTTCTAATGTCTCTACTTTATAAAAAAAGGTAGTCTGAACCTATGTCCATTTCCCCAAATTCAGTTTCACTTTGAATAAATCATCTCAGCCTTGGCTATGCTTAGGTCTACATTGCTTCTTTCTCACACTTTCTTCCACTCCAGGATGTAGCTTCAAACCTTGCACTTGATCCTTCTCTGTCTCTGTATTTCCCCTTCTTCCATGAAGGCACTCAATGATGAATTTCTGGTCTTTCCTTTACGATTTTACTGCAGCTATTCATTCAACAAAGTGCCTACAATCTATGGCATGATTCTTTAGCTGGCCCACAGGAATGGGAAATGTTGTAAGTTTGTTTGTTTGCTACAGATCACCCCTTCATTTCTGTAGAAATACTGGATTCTTGTCCCTGGATGAGACTCATTCAAAATGTCCCATTTGTTTATATGTTGACTTTCACACTATCAAACTGCTGTGTCAGCAGGATATCACAAATCTACTGATTTGCAATAATGCTATCTGAGAGCATTAAGTGTATAGCAAATGTAAGGTAATTAATTTAACTTTTCTAGGTTTGCTAGGAAATAGTAAAGCAAATTTGCATTACCTTACATTTGTTTTAGAATAATAGCTCCTGGTGCTTTGCTGACATCTGGTAATTAGTTTGATTACTGTCTTAATTATCTGCCTGAGCTTGTGGGGTTAAGTTAACTTTTTAATGCTTAATGTACTGCAATGGACTTTCAAAATACATGTGATCCTCTTCTCATTAAAATATGAAAAAAAAAGACTATATTCCATAATTTAAACTTTGATTGACACTATCAAATTTTCAGAAATCCCTTCTTAAATACCTTGAGATTTAAAGTCTAAAAGTTTACCAGCATGTAGCAACAAAATCACACAAAACCTCAGCTGATCATTTGTTAGTATTTGGATCAAAGGCTTCCCAAACAAGATCAGACACCCACTACTCCAGGGCTTCACAATGACAGAATAAAAGATGGCTTCTGCACTCAAGCATTTAATAACTAATGGTAAAATCTAAAACACAGACATATTTTGACTCTTGCTCATGAAAAAGTCATACCTGAAGGGGAGAACAGTATTCAAGAAATTGTTATGATCCAAAGTTAGATCCAATACTTTCAGCGAAAGGAAATATTTTTATGTGGACCCTTGAACTGGTCTAGACTACCTTTCAGAAGTAAAAACCAAATGCAGTGCCCAGTAACAGAACTTCATCCCGTCTGTCTTCTGCAGTCATATTTACTGGATTTGAAAGTCACACGGCTAAAGGCAGCAGCAAGTGCAAAGGTCAGTTTTCCAAGAGGATGATCAAGGAACACACATTAACAGATTTGTAAAACTCATGTTAGGTACTTAGAACACAAATAATCAAAATACCCTGGACTCATGAGATTCCTCATCAAGCCATGATGTTTTTATCAAAATGTCATCACATATAAACATGTGTTTGCATTTTTCTTTTTCTGTGCACAGTTAATTATAGATTTTTCTTTCTAGATAAAATACAGTAGGGAGTATTTGCAATATGCTTCTTTGCCTCAGTCCTACAAACACTAAGGCATGTGCATAACTTTATGAACAGGTGGTAATTCATTATTATTTATGTAAGTTACTCACTGGAGTGTGTCCAAAGCTGTAATCTCACTTTTGATTCTCATCCTGTTTTTACCCCTTTCTGAGTAGAAGCAGACTCGAATGTGGAAATTTGCTATAATGTATTCCATTATAATGCCACCTATGTATGACAATTTCCTGCCTTGCCTATTATAGTTTAAAGACATTAAATATGACAAAGCTTTATGATTTTCTTATTTATAGTAGTTTTGTAACCAACTCTGTCTGACTTTATTACTATTAATATTATATTTCCTATGTTCCTGTTTTGACAAAAGTATGAGAAGGATATTGAGAGGTACTACATGAAAACTAAAATAAAGCAAAAAAAATTCATTTCAGCTTAGCACAAAATTGATATGGGATCTCCCCATAACAACTTCTGCTAAGGAGAGTCACTGGAATTGAATTCTCAAGGCATGAACAATTTTTCCCTTAATAAATTGACCAAAACTTGCACTGCAACTGTTTAACAGGAATTACACATCATGTTCCAGCTCTTGCCATGTTCAGTTATTTTCTTCACATATAAAATAGCCAAAAAAAGAAGATTTGTCAGGGTCTTGTGGTTTTATACTGTTTGCACAACATGGAGGAACATCACCATCATCATTTTAGTCTTTCAACTTGAAGCAGAAGTTACAGACTGATTCAAGTGGCACAAAGGACTGAGTGTTGAACAGAAAGCAAGAAACTTGCAGCTGATACAGATTTTAGCACAGCAAATTGGAAAATTTAATAAGAGGCAGACTGAACTTCTGCCAAAATAGTATTTTCAGCTACTCTGCACAAGCACACACAAAAGAGGAAACAATGATTTAAAAAAACCCTCAAACAAATCTGGAAGTTTTCCTCAGATAATTTGTAGAATAAAGAACAACTCTTTGGCCCTCAGAGGCATGATGTTAGCCAGATATCATTGGTGTGCAGAAAAATCAAGACCAGCTAAAGCAGCTCTGTATACCAAAATACAAATTACTTTCGTTACATTCAGATGAAGGCACTACTCTGGAGCCAGACTGTCTGCCTGTGGATTTCTGTACTAGACTGGTCCATCCACTGGAATGCCTCCTGGGAGACTAGATAAAAATATTCTAGGAGGACCAATATTTATATGTGTGTTTTGACCAAAAGGAAAGTGACTGGAATAAAGTCCCAAGAGCTCAGTGTCCATTACTAGAAGAAATGTATTTAATACTGTCTTGGAAATCAGGTTTCAGCAGAAGATGTTCAAAATCATTTAATTTCTTGGAAAAAAAATACAAACACCAAACTGACTTTTAGAACACCTCAGAAAACAAAGAGATTACCGTCAGGTAGATTTCTTGTGTGAGCAATTTGGATGCATAAAGCCTTAAAAATAAGCATGAAAACAAGCAAGTATTGTAGGAAGTGGTTTTCAATTGGGTGGCTGTCCTGAACAAATCAGAACAAAACTGGCCTCTGGGAAAAGTGGAAATGCTTTATTTAAATACCAATATTTTTAGCTTAGGGACACTTCCCTATGTTATGTAGGAATCTCAGATTTAATTTCAGCTCTAACTCTCTCATAGGGGACACTTGTCCCAGGAGAGATTCATATGGGTGGTAACGGAGGAAGAGAATATATCTCTTCTTAATAATCATATGTGGTGGCTGATCAAGGAAAACTCACATACTCCATAGAGAGTTTCTGTTCCGTGCTCTCTAGAAGGTGGTAGGAAAATCAACTCAGAGCTCTCAGACAAGGAGGGAGTGAATGGAGAGGACAACTGGAGGTGATGAGAGGTACACTATTAATACAAGCGAACAAGAGAATATTTATGAGTGAATTTGGGAATGTCATCATGGGTGTTAATGGTGACAAAGTTTTTCTGCTTAATGACTGGACAAGCAGAGAGTGAGCAGTAAAAAGCTTCTGAGCCCTTTCAGAGAAGTATACAAGGGCTCCCTGACAGCTTTCTGTAATTCGCAATGTTATCAAAAATGGCAAAATATGATCATCAAGTGTGGATTTATTTTGATTTTTGCACTTGGAAATCACATTCTCTCCCTTCTAAGCTCACAAAGGAATTTTTTTCTTTTTTTTTAACTAGTTGCACCTTGAGTCACATCATTTATCTTGGCATCCTTACCCTCTGGGTCAACCTGGGAGTAATGAATGCAACATAAATGCTGGGATGTAGACAAAACTCCAGCTTAATCAGCCTTCAACCAGCAAGAATAACTGGAATGCAATAGAACAAAGAATATTCACTGTTCACAGGGAATAAGAATGTACCTCGTAAACTTTAAAGAGATGATATCTCCAAACACATGTCCTGTCACATCAACCAATGCTCACTTAAGAGCTCAGCATTGTAGAAAAAGATATCTGCCAACTGGTGTTCAGCTGCAAAAACCATCATTGTCCACACAAGTCACAATATAACAGTTCCAATGCCAGTGTTTGCAATATGCTCCTGCAGTAAGTAATTTAAAATAGAAACGTACTAGTTTTATGAAGAACAAAGCAGATGAGCAATGAGCTAAGCAGCAAGAGGTACTCTTATTGCTGAGAGGCAGCATGGTTTCCCTGAAACCTAACACAGCTGTAGCATAGTTTTTATTCCCTTTTTATGTTAGCTTTGACCAGCCCAATAAAATAACCACTACACCAAAAGTCACAGAGAAATACTCACAGGTAGAAAACATCAAGGCACAGAATATCCTCTGGATAAGTATTATATTTAAAATTAAAAGAGACACATTGACCAACCTCTGGCCAAGTCTCTTCCAGTTCAGTTGCTTTGAAGCTATACTCTACTGGTGCCAAGAGAAACAGTTTGCCCCTTGTTTTAAATGAGATGCTTACAGCTGAATCCAACAACTTAAATCTTTGAGCAACTTTTAATTTTGCTTTTAACACGGTTATTATAACAGCTCTAGAAAATCCTGAAGTCAAATAACTATCACACCATGCAAAGTGCTGAACAAGTATATACCAAGGAGAGTGTCCATTCTCAACTTCATAAACCCTCAGGCATAAGTCAGAAATTTGTTGTTCTCTTGAAAAATATACAATCTGAAACTTGCCTACCGGATCCAGGCCTTCCCAAATATTCTCTGCCTATGAAAGCCCCCATTGCCTATGGGAATGTTGGTTTGCCTTTTCTTTTTCTTTTCTACTCCAACCACTTGTTAAACTGTAGAAATATTTTTAAAGAGAAAGTGTTTATCTCCAGGTACAACTGCAGCTCTCAAGTGCTTCTACACTCACATACAGAGCCCTTCGCCATAATATGCTGCACCTCCCCTCACTGCACACCTGCGCAGCCTGAATTGAAGCAGAACAGAGAGATTAAAAGACTAATTTCTGAGTTTTTCTTTTCACCTGGTTACTGAAAGAAACTGGGAAAGGAGCTGGTGAAAACGAGGAATGAAAGTTTGCATGTCAAGGAGTAGATGGGAAAGAACTGTAGGTGAATATCCTTGCCTGACTGTATATTCGCACGAGCTCTACACTCGCTCCTTGCATCTCATCTCACTCACTCCTTGCAATTATGAAGTGAGCACACTTGGTAGAAATGGTATGGGATGCCTTCCCTTAAAGCAATGTTCAGATTAACAAGACATGCTATTCTCATGTAGAAAAATTAAATATGGGAGATAGGGAAAATTCTGCTTTTCCTGTGAGGGTTTTTTTTGGTGGGGTTTCTTTTTTTGGGAGTAACTCAGTTATGTTATACAAAATGAGCTCATAAAATACATGTGGAAGAACACAGTATACACGGCTGAGCATCTGTGTGACATTAGATGCCTTTATTTTTTAAAATCAGATAGCAAATCATCCCAATTAAATAATTTAGTATCATCGCTATTTCTTTTTTCATTGTTAAGTAATGATTTTATACCACCTTTCCAGGATAAAGAGCTCTCTCAAGACTTTTGAAAGACCTATGTGCTCACACAGCTTCTGCTGACAACCTGGACTATTTACTCTCATAGCAACCCCATTCTCATAACAATCCAATCTTCGATCTGTATTAAGACCTTGTGTAAAGATGGAAATCATATGCAGAAAAGATAAGGACTACATTTGTTAACAATGCATCATGCATCAGAGACTGAGTCAAGTCCATCTGTGGTATCTTTCTCTTCTCCCATTTCTAACCTCTTAGGCAATTAGGCTCAGACACATCCCACCTTAAGTTTAGTCAGCACTTCAGTGACATGCAAAAACTAAAGCCTGCTCATGATAAGCTCTCCCTGCATTCCCTTTCCTACTGCTCTAGCCACCTTGCAGTTAACAATATATATATTTGAGTTTCACTGGTAATTACTCATTACATTCCAAACAAATTGTATGTAAATATGGCAAAGGCAGTCACTGCAGGAAAGAAAAAGTCTACAGTGCCTGGAAATGAGTACCTTTCCTTCATTGTGTGGATGCCACCTATCACTACCAAAAAAGAAAAGAAAAAGGAAAAGAAAAAAATATTTTACTTAGGAATTCCCTGCCTTTTGCTTCGTAGTCGTCCATGACATTTGTTTACTGATGCTGATCTCAGCTACCCTTGAGATACTCTTGGTTTGTAGAAGCCGACTTTACCTACTGTTAGTACTACCGGCTGTTAATATGCCATTACTGTTCTAAAGTCTCTGCATGAAGAGTCAGTTTTAGCAGCACATGTGTTCTTAAGAACAATGGTACTGGGATGTTTTCAAATATCCTTACTCCTAACCAAGTGGGAAATGAAGAGGAATTACATTTCTGTTGCAGTTTCCAAGACAGTTTTCAAACTTATCCATAGATGTTTCGTGAGCCAGAAAATGTGCTCTGATTTCAAAAACTCTGCATTAAAGTTGATTTAGGAAACATCTTAAGGGCACAATCAAAAAAGAATGAAAGGAATGACTGCATCACTGGAGCAATTCAAAAAGTCCTATGGCAAACTATAGGCTACTCTCAAAGTCATAGAAATGTTCATGTTAAGCTAGGTTTGTCTCTTGTTTTGAAAACTATTAGTTGGAAATGGTTCTGACAAAGTCACTGTTGTTACAATATTTGAAAAACAGTAGAAGAGGATTTCTTGACAGAGTACTGAAATGTGCACAGATTTGGCACTGTGAAGCTGCAAAGCAAGCAAAGCTGATTTTTTTAAAAATACATGAATAACTATCCTTATCTTAGAATTCCAGAAATTCAGATTTGTCATTTGGCCTCTGATTTTTCCTATTTATTTTTAATAACCAAAAAAGGCTGCTCACATGGAAGACTGGCCCATCCATGGTTATAATCCACAGGTTTTGGCGTTGGACATTTCTAACTCACTGGTTGGAGAGGTAGCTGTGAAAAGCATTTCTGTAATACACTATTTCTTACATGTTTTTCTCAAGCATCTGATTCTGGCCAGAATAAAGAGGCTGAAAAGATGCTAAACAAACCCTTTATCTGACAGAGCATGAACATGGTCATATTATGTTCTCTGGTTATGTTCTTAAAAAGTAATACCTTTGCATTCATTTCACTGGAATGGCACAACACACAGAAAACTATGTATGTACATACCAACATTCCTCTTGTCCATTTTCTTTCTTCCACGTATTTGCTTTAATTTTTTTCATTTTATTCAGGCCTTTAGCTCTACTCCCAGCAGTCTGCTCCTGTTGCTATGCACCAGCCCCTTCTCCTTTGCCGGAGCAACCATTCCCTGGGCTCCCATCACCAGTACAGTGGGGCTCACTGCTGACTCAGCAAGGGAGCTTCTGTTCTTGCAGGCTGCCACTGCCTCTCTTTGCCTCCCTCACTCTTCTTCCTACTCTCAGGCTCACTGCTCTGTGACTTGAACTCCTTTTCGACTCATGGGAGGGGAGATGATGCTTAAAACTACTTAAGAGGCAGTTTCACTCCCCAGCATTACTCACCCCAGAGCCAGCCAAGGGAACCAAAGTTTTCCCAGAAAAGGTGGGGAGTCAAAGAATAACATCTGCAGCTGGCACTGAAATAGATCAGACTCTTACTTACCCTGATTCATCAATTTCCCATAAATTTATCTACCACTCCAGTCTTATTTCTTCCTCTACAAATCCACATACTCTCAGTTATTTCCATTTGTGTACTTCATCTATTATCTCCCTGAAATGTCTCTTCCAATGTCAGAAACCTCACCCTTGTTCCTCTATAAACTCTTCCCTCATTTGCAGCATCTGCTTCAGCCCTTATATACTGTGCTTAGAGTCTGTGTCTCATTTCTGTCCTTGACTTCTTCACATTAACCCTCTGAAAATGGGGTTTCCTGTACACTTTCCCTCCAACTATGACCAAGTCATAATGAATGTGGGAGGTGAAAAACATATATATATATATATATATATATATATATATATATATATATGCAAGCCAGATAGCTCTGATAAAGTGAATTGACACAGAATTCATAACTCACATACCTTGCCATACTTTTGTGCATAGGATCCTGTAAGCAGTGAATGAAAAACTATGATTGTTTCATCCAAATCCCAAACAAATACACGCTGAAAAGAGAATTGGGGAAAATATTATTGAACAAATAACATCCAAGTTCCACCACCATCCCACCCAGGGGGGGCTAAAAGTCAACGGAGTCCTAAAGTTTCATCAACCATTTAACAGAGCAGGTTTTCTCTGAAAATCAGCAGTAACAGTGTATCATGCATGGTAAAAACTCAAAAGGAGAGTAACTTTTTTTCTCTTCAACCATTTCTTATTTGTCCTCAAAAAAGCTTTTCACAAAAGCTCTATAACACAGATTTCAGAAACATGATGTGGAGTCAAACGTAATTGTTAAGGATAAACAGTACTTTCAGGTACTTCTCTGTGAGTCTTATTGATTCAAGATTCTTCTTTATTTCTACTGTAGTACTAAAATAAGGTCTTGGGTAAAAGTGCCACATATAATGCAGAATTTAAATAATATTATAGAATATAACAGATCATAGTAACTCCATTTCATTAATTCAATTTCACTAGTTTTCATTTTCATTGGTAAATAAAAAACAACAAATAAACATATGAACAACCCCCCCCAACAAACAAAACAACAAACCAAACAAAACAAAACAAAAGAAGCCTGAAATGTAAGAAGTTAGTCTCTTCACTGGAAAAGTTAAATCCTTTAAAAAGTAAAAAATATATAAGTTCCTGTACAAAAGCAATGGCATTTACATTCAGTGCCTAGCCCTGCCTCATTGAAACCTGCTGACATTACTTACAAGCACACGGACAAACTGATGCCTAAGTACTTAAAGGTTACATTCGGATGATCCTACATATTTACACGGTGTCCATAAATATATGCAATTAAGCTGAATGATATATTTGAGATTTCCTACTCAAAAAACTAAAAGAAAATGTCACAATTTTGAGTACAGATTTGTGCTTCTATTGCATGAGGAACTGCAAGACATGCAATCTGAGAGCTAAAAAGAACAAGGCTGAAACACATTTACCTTTCTGCCTAACTTTGTGATGCAGAACAGTAAAGTCTCATTGTACATGTATGTTAAAGCAGCTACTAATCTCTGTTGCATTCAGTTAGTGAGACTGAGTCCATGATGTTTTCTAAAATGCTTTAAGCTATTTCTACAGATGCAGTTTTCAGAATTTACTCTTCACAGAAGAAATCTCCACATCAACATTCATCAATTACCACAGGCATACCTCCAAGTCACTGTCCGGAGGGGGTGATGGATTATTCTTCCGTCCTCTACCCCTAGACTTCGACCCAGAACTCCTACATGTTCTCTCATCAAGATCTTTAATTGGCGTGGAGGGGCTCTGCACTGTGTCAAACTCCCCTGTGAAGTCAACCATTCATGTAAAAATTAGTACTGGATTTTTAAATAATTTTTTTTTCTTTTCTCAAAGTTGGACATGTCTGTATGCAAAGTCAGTAATAAGATACATGTAAAAAAAGCTGTAAAAAATGAGTGTCTTATGTAGATGGAATCAGCAGATGCCACATACACTTTTGACTTTACCAATGAAACATTCTAAACCCTAGCAGAATAAGATTAAAATGACACATATGCATCTGCAGATACATACACAAATATGCATAAGCCTAGGTAAAATATCATCAAGGATGATGTATTTTAGAAGTCACAGTAATGGCTTCTCAAAACATGAAGTGCCTTTTACTTAGGTAGTTCATTTCCCATGTTTGAAGTTCAGCTAGACTTATTTCCAAGTCCTGCATTACTTTTACCAGAACACCCTCTGACACTCGTCCATGCCCCAGAACAGCCAGGCAGCTTCCTGCTTCATCTCCTCCTCCCATGTCACTACTCTCTAGCAGAATTCACCTCTTTTTTCCTTAGAGGTATGCAGGGAAAGGACAAGACACACAGACAGAAATCACAGCAAGGGTTATTCCTATTAGATATCAGGAAAAATTTCTTCACTGTGAGAGTGTCAGGACCTGGGATGGGTTCCCAGCCAGAGAGGCTGTGCATTCTCCACCCCTGGAGATACTCAAAACTGCACTGGACACAGCCCTGAGCAACATGACCTAAGCTGGCTCATCCATGAGCAGATAGGACCAAAAGACTCACTGAGGTCCCTTCCAACATGAATAACTGAATGTTTCTGTGATCTTCCTCAAGTCATTGACCTCTTTGCTAGAAACCAATTATGATCTAGCAGGCTCTAAAAAGAAAAAGGAGACTGAAGGTCTCAGTTGAGTCTGCAGTAACATAATGTAACACAACAGCTGAATTCTTAATCTCTTCCATCATTTGTTTACACCTTGCAGTCAACCACATACAAAAGATACTAAAAATAAATATACTGGAAGATTTACATCTTGACTGGAAACATACTGGTGTATATTTTGGAAGAAAAAGATTTAAGCCCATGATGTTACATTCCTGAATGGCAGCTCTAGAGCTCTAGACATTCTGATGAAAGTATTACAGATTCAAGGAAAGGGAGAATAAGAAGAAACTTAGTTCCTGAGCCTACTGGTTAGGACATTTACCTGAAGAAGGACACATCTAAGTTCTCTGGGGTACACTTGTTTATTTGACTGATTGATTTAAATGAAGTATAAAGACTTATTTTCATGGCCTAGAATCCACAGCCCTGTATATATGTGGAAGGTGATGAATCCTCCATGAAATAGGAGGAAATCAGATTTGCCTCTCTCACTTCCTCAGAAAGTGCTTCTCTGCTTGCAGAAAAAACAGAGCAGAACTTTCAGACAGCAGCTAAGAAGAGATTTTTCAAAACTGCAATTTGAGAATTTATTCCAGATACCATTTTAGATAGCTCTGTCCTGAATTGGATAAGGATTATATGCATTCTATAGTAGTTTCTCTGTCAGTTAAAATTCTTATTTGCCAAAAAATGACAGGAAAATTAAGCAGCAATAATAATACCCAACGAAAAATGTTCTCATTGTGGTTTCTCTTGTTCTTACAGAATGAAGGGAGAGAATTCTCATTGAGTAATCATTTCTATCCCTAGTATGATGTTGATGTCAGTAAGGACACTGCAGGCAGTAAAGCAATCAATAAGATCACATTATCTTAGTTCTTCCCCCATAAGAAGAACGGCAAAACATATTTTGGTAAATGTAAAAATGTACAAAAAGAAGCTTCTTAACCAGGATCCTTGTGCAGCAAAGACCTACACTGGCTTCAAAAGAAGTTCTGAGTGTGCAAGAGTTCTGTACAAAAATACAGTTTACTAGATTTTTCAGACAGAGTGGAAAAAATATCCCAAACCAAATCAGAAATGAAAAGGCAAAAATTAAGTGAAGATGGATGTTTACATTCTTACCAGAAAGGCTTCATATTTATAACATTTCAACATTCTAAAATAAAATCAAAACTCATTCTACAGTAATGTATTAAAACATCTGTTCTCAATGACTGTGTTTATAAATGAAATACAAAAAAAAGAAGCCCTGTTCTAAATCTTCTCTGAAAGTATCCAACGACCAAAGTAAATAACTTCAATTTTCATTTAGCATTAGCCATTACCACTTGCCCCAGGCTTCTGTTTGGGTCAATGCTGTACATGTTTGCATAATTATCTACTAATTACTATTGTAACTAATCATTGTTCCTTGTAAAATCTAGATATTTAAAGCCAACTTTATTTCATTATGCTAATCTCTAAATCAGAATGAGCAGCTGTCTCTTACTTGAATGCAAGGTATGCATCTATTTTAGAACTGCAGAAGTCAGTAGTGCATGTTTTTTTCAAACAACTGTAGGCTTAATTGCTTGAATTGCTTGTTACCAACAGCAGGCTAAAGGAGAAACTGCATTCTCTTATCCTCTGCTTTAGAAATGAGGTCAATACTGATAAAATGAAAACTTATTAAAAATTCAGCCACGTAACATAAAGAAATGTGAGAAATTCTAGTATCAAAGAGTACTGAAAACATTACCCTCGTGAAGAGTTCCTACTGCAGCTCATATTAGAAGAAATTTTTATGACAATGTTTGAAATTTTTTAGCTTTTCCAGGATTCAACACATGCCTAATAAATATACTACATAACCTCCTGGGCTACAAGCAGCATCAGGGATCCAACAAAACAAGAGGAAACTGTTAAAACCAGAATGTGGAATGACCGCTTTATCACAGATGTTCTTACACACATTCATATACTTGTTTGTATCCAATATGAAGCCTTTCATTCTGTGGAGACCTTGCAGCACTCCAGTTAGAGGATAGGGAGTTACAGCATCACCACTACAAATGGAGGTCGCCTTTCATACCCAGAATATTGTTTCCCATCTCTGGTTTGATGTGAACATCCTCTCCTCCTTGTTAAAACACAGTTCTACCACTTAAGCAGGAGAAAAGAGTTTATGCAGTGCATTTAAACCTAATGCCATCTCCCAGAGAATCTGCAAAGGGTGACTTCATTGTGGGTACCAAATTAAGAGAGTAAGCTTTGCTGCATCGCAGTAACCAAACAGGAGCTAATATCCTACAGTGATTCACCTCCCTTAACCCTGGACATATGAAAGTGAGATGCCTTAACATGAAGCTTTTATCCAGGTCTATTTCCTCTGCTAGAGTTTTATTTGCCCTAGATTAAATGTACTTATGTATTCATCAAATGTACTCATATATACTTATCCCCTGAGACCTCATCTCAGGGTTCATCTGAGTTATCCCTATTTGAGATGAAGTGCCCTAGGGGATACTTATTTCTCTCACAAATGTTCTCTGGTAATGAGTGCATTTTGAAAAATCTTAATATAAAGCAGGCACAATACAAACTCAGAAGCCTTGAGGCTTGAGCATCACACAGATGTGGGATGGATGAATTTCTGAGCCCCTTCATACTTTCCTTATGGATTGACTTTTGCTACATATTCTTACCTGACACAGCAGACAGAAGATGGCTGCAACGTTACAAGCCTGGTTTGTTGGGGTTGTTTTTGTTTTGTTTTTTTTTTTTCCTGGCTTGTAATGTGTTATTGCTTGTCATGAATATCAGAAAGAGTAAAGTCTATTTCAATTTTCATCTCATTTTCTTTACTTGGTCAATAAGTAAAATTGTAACTGATATTAACTCTTGATCTGATGGGGATTTATTATGAAACTGAGAAATCCTATATGTTTGGAGGGTACTAGAGGTTTTGATTAGATATTTGAATTAATAGTTAGAAGAGATGGCAGAAGAATGAAGTGCCTTGCTGTGTTTAGTCTTAGGTTTTAGTTGGAGTAAGTCTTAAGGACTTAAGGTCTGTTAGACAGTAAGTGAACATGGTGAGTGCTAAAGATCTGCAGTATCTGAAATGGTCTCCAAGACACTGCACCTCACCAATGGAAACATATTTTTACAGTGACACAGAAGTGCATAGGCATGACATGCATTCACAAAGTGGGCGTTTCACTCTCGGCAGAGGGTCGCATGATCAGGGCAACACTCAACAGAAATAAGGAACAGATGGGGGTGGATTTGTTAAGTTCAGATGAACAACCTACTTAAAAAGAAAGCAAATTCCTATGTTTAAACAATCCACAACCAAGAAAAATCTTTAATGTTTCACAGACGTGAAGCCTTCGGTAATTTTTCAACCTGTTCAAATTCTGTAAGATTCCTTTTTTTGCCAATTTTCTTCAATACTAAGGGTGTTCATAATAGATGATAAATTTACACAGCATTTTTAGGAAACAGAGATACATAAGGGAGAGGCAATATGGGAAACTGATTTTCTCAAATGAGAATATGAAGGAATAATAAAGAAACAAGGAAAAGTACACAGGACATGCACAATTATTAAAATGCTTCATTCTCTTTTAAAAATACATATGATTTGTATCTGTTATAGATATCCTCAAACTGTTGAAATTTCACTTGATGTTGCATTACCTCTTAACTTTTTCTTCCTAAATTTACATTCTGAGACTACCGAATAATATATTACACTTTTCATAAAAAATCAAGGGAATGTGTATCTCCCCATAGCTATTCCATATCATATCCATACCCATATCCATATCCATAGGATACCACACCACACACCAAACACACGCACACATGCACACACTTGAACTTTAAAAATCAGCCTGAGGAAAACATCTAGGTAGGAAAAATTTGAACTCATGCAATTAAAGTTCCAACATTTTTAGTAAATTTAAGCAGCTTATATTAAGTATGAGGCTTTGCTTATACTTTTCTACACAGTGTTACCTTTCCTTTGTACACATTCATTATAATAATAGTCTTTCTACTGTACTTCTCAATAAGATGGTGCAGTTGTTGGAAAAAATTATGTAGTAAGTTGATTTTGTGACTAAAGCACATATTCCTCCCCTATGCAGAGCCTAATCCAAAAGTCAGTTTGTTAGTCTTTTAAGTTGGAAGTCAGCTTAAAGAAGATAGAAGTTCTCTATCAACTGGCACCTCAGGAAGTCTTCCATCATCCCCATATCACCACTGGCCAATCAGAACTCAAATCAGTCCAGCCGTTTAATTACCTAGGTAGCCTCATCTCCTCGGATGGTAAGATTGACGGGGAGATAGACAACAGGTTAGCAAAGGCACATAGTGCCTTCGGAAAGCTCCATAAAAGAGTTTGGCAAAATAAACACCTGAAGAAAAGTACCAAGATCAGTGTTTACAGAGCCATTGTGCTGTCTACTCTCTTATATGGATCTGAATCATGGGTCATCTACCGCCACCACCTGCATCTCCTAGAACGCTTCCATCAACGCTGCCTCCGTACAATCCTAAACATCCACTGGTCAGATTATGTGACTAACACGTCTGTTCTAGAACAAGCAGCAGTCACAAGCATTGAGGCCATGTTGCTGAGAACACAGCTGTGTTGGGCAGGGCACGTCTCCAGGATGAAGGACCACCGCCTCCCTAAGATCTTGCTTTATGGTGAACTTGCCACCGGCTGCCACATGAGAGGAGCCCTAAAGAGAAGATACAAGGACTCCCTAAAACAACATCTCAGCCTTGGCCATATTGATCTACATAACTGGTTTACTCTGGCCTCCAATTGGGAGGCCTGGAGACACACCATTTATAATGCTGCTGATGCTTTTGAGAAAGCACGCAGGATTCGAGAGGAAAAGACAATGCAGAAAGATTCGTGCCTTGCAGAATATACCACCTAAGGAGTCTTTCTGCTGTGCCTTTTGTAACCGGACGTGCCTATCTTGTATTGGCCTTTTTAGCCACCAGCGTGCTTGTAACAAACGTGGGTAGAGCCTTTCCCAAATCTTTGTTCGCGAAGCCCAGCCATGAAAAAAGAAAAAAGTCTTTTTAGAAATGCTCCCAGTCTGTGGGTAAGGGAGACACTACCCATGCTGCCTGAGTGAAGCCAGTGATGCAAAGAAGCCCCGGAAGACACTGCTCTGAGTGCTGAGGAAAAATGAACTGTCATTACCCACCAGGGGTGTCCTAGGAATACAAGTAACAGGCTACTGTGCTGCGGCTGTGATGTGGTGGCTGTGCACAAGAGGGCAGGGCTGGGCAGGAAAAGGGAGCCTCCTCGTGTCTCCTGAGAATGCTCTTTTTGTAAATTAGACTAGTTCAATATGATTTTTTTTTAAAGAGACTTGTGCTATTAAGCTATTTCTCTATTCTTTGTTACCTAAATTAGTGAATTAACAAGCATAGATGGCTTGTACACATTTGAATAAAGCCCAGCCATGCTCTTGCTAGCATGGCTGGGGTATAGTTAAATGAACAATGGTATCTTGTGTTAAATTCTTTACAGCCATACTTCAGAATGTGTAGGTGGAAACAGGAATCTCCCACTGTCAGTAATAGTGACAACCATCTCAGCCTTAAAACACTTCATTTGACTAGCAAACATGACAGGTTTCCTAACTATACAGTAAAAAACTTATTTTGGCTGGTTTACATTGTGAAGTTTTCTGAAAGGCATGACTTAAAATGTCGATATTCAAACAAGGCATTCAATCAATGCAAGGTGGATGTGGAAATCCCGTCTTTATACAAGTAGAGAATAAAATAGAAAAATTGTTTTCACCTGAATGTAGATCTGTACCTGGTTGACTAGTCAAGCCAGGGAGAGAGTCCTGTAACTGGTAGGTTGATGATGATGATGAAGTGCCATCAGCCGTGTTGTTTGAGGTCATATATGTACCATATGTTGATGCTGAGTAATACTGTGCATATTGATTTTGGCCAAAAGCTGTGTATGATGGATAATCCTAAAACAGCAAATGCAGCAGAGCACTTAATTAAGTACAGTAATGAATGATTTTTTTCCATTAAGTATTTCTAAATGTACAATCACATGACTTTTTCAAGCATTCTGAAGGCTTGGTTAGCACTTTTTTTAATTTAAGAATATTTAATGTTTTTTAATTTAAGGATATTTGCTAAAAAACTACAGTGAGATTGATGAAATATTTAAATGCCACAAGATGTAACCAGGTTTCCAATGAGATTTTGATCACTTTCCACAGAAAACAGCATTGAACCACAGTAAATGTCATTCAACATAACAGACCTCAGTTAAAGTAACATGCTATAACTGGAGTGATATAAGTCCTCTCATAATTGGCAAATAAAAATTCATACCTGTTGTGAACTACTGAAGTTTGTGGAATTCGAAACAGAATTGTTTGAGTAAATTGTGGACGACGGTGTAAAACTAGAACCTAAGATTAAAAATTTCAATTAATTGTGAGAATTTGCCTGTGAATCAAAATAAAATTCTAAATAGAATGCTCCATGTTAAGATGTAAAAGAATCAGAAGAAAAAAACAACTTTTATTTACTGGTAAAATAATAAAATATTGTAATGAAACTTTAACAGAAATGAAATGCTACTTCCATACATACAAGCATACATTTCTCTTCACACCATGAAAGGAAGATATTAGCAGTAAGCCACCTCACTGATCTAGAAAGCATTTTTCAATTTATTGCGGTGTCTCATCTCTCCTAAAATACTTTTTTCTCTTTTGTTTTAATTTCTAACACTTTGGTGTTACATTCACAAAACAAAATCTTTTCAAATACTATTTAATGATTGATGTGTTTTTAATCAATCTGTAATGAGACATGTCCTTGTTTTCAACATAAATCAGATATTCATATTGTAATTTGTAATATTCAAAAGATTAACTGTTGTACAAGAAGCCTAAAAATTATCCAAATAAAACATGTTGTCAGTGATCAAAGGGTAATAAGTAAATAACTAAATGAATAGTAAATGAAAGAATAAATATGAATTAAGGAGAAATTCTAAAAAATTATGTTAACCCAAGTATCAAATTATGTCATACTCAGAAACATGGAAATAAGGCAAAGTGACTTGTTTATGTTAATAAATATAACAAATGCTTCCAGTCCTGCCATGTAATTTTTTTACCCCGCAAAAAAAACCCAAAAAAGGTGTAAACAGGGACTGTATTGCATGACCACATCCAAACTAACTTATCAAAATGAACACACATATGCATATTAGTAATGGAAAGAAATACTTAGCTTTAAATTTTGGAGTTGGTTACTCACCTGGCATCTGATAAGAGTAGGGTGTTTGGCCTGGCTGTGGGGTCGAAAACCCCGGGCTGTAACTGAGGCACCCGCTCTGCAGTGGTGATTGGGTCTGCGAGAGCCCACTTTCTGTCTTGATGCCTGGCAACATTACACCCAAATCTGTATAAGAAATTAATTTTCAACTGATTCTTTAAAATATTTTCTTACAGTCGGGAAAAAACAGAAAGCAAAACCACTCAAGTTGGCAATACTTTTTATTCTACATAAAGTGAAGTAATAAGAGGCCAAATACCGTAAGTGGGTAAGCTGTAGGGCTGTCCTGTCTGTGAGTAGGCTGTATAGACCGCTGGTTGCTGCATTCCTGAATACTGGGTTTGTCCGGCATAGGCAGACATTGTTTGAGCTGCTGGTGTAGAAAGAATGTGTGGATAGGGCCTAAATATCAGGAAAAATAGCATTACTGTGGCAACAAATGCTTTGTATGTTGATTCAAGCAATAAAGTAAAGCAAAAGGTTTAAAGACGTCCAAAGGCAGTTCATTATTCTGCCAACTGCTCCTCTTCTGGGATTTGTTCCATCCCCCACTGAAATAAGCTGAAAAACACTCTGTCTCACATTCCCCAAGGCACAGTGAATATTTTGTGCCATCCCATCACTACAATTTAATTCTTAAGCTACTGTGTCCACTTCGAAGTAGGCCCTGACACTGCTGCACAGCTTTATATGGATTTGACCCCTTTCAGCCAAGATCAGAACGTTTAAATTAGAAAAGCCCCCACGCTTTTTTAATCCAGTGGAAGGAAATTTGGACTAGAAGAATAAAGAAAATACAGAGGTGAATGCTGAAGCTAGTACATTATGTCATCTTTGTAGGTTCTGCTTCAACAGACATCTAGCCTCTAGCTTCAATGAGAGATGGATCACACATATTAAGAGGGGCACAAAAAATATTGACAGCAATACTTTGGTAACCAGATGGGCTTTAAATGTTTGGAAAATATAGGCTAGGGAAACAGAATGGAAACATAAATGGTCTTTATTTATGAATACTAGGGTTTTATAGAGAGATTGAATAAAACCAAGTTTAAAATTTTTGCCCTCTAGAGTTGCAAAAATATACAGAGAAACATTTTTCTTGGATTGTTTTGTAAGTCAAATAAGACTTTATGGACCAAGAGTTGAATAAACACACTCTGTAGAATTACGCTAACTGAAACCTGGCCATTAAAAGCCAGGACTAAATTTCAGATTCTAATTTTTAAAATTTTTTTCTTTCTAATTAGTTCAGTACAGTTGGCAGCTTTTACTATCAGAAAAGGATTGCTCATTAATTTATATGCCAAAAAATTGTAACAGTAGATTAAAAAAATTCTATTAAATCTTGTAATGTATATGGCCAAGAATATCTAATATAGTTTGCCAAAACCTGTTTTAAGTGGAATGAGGGCTCTTTGTTCAGGCACCTACTTTCCGTATTAATAAATACTGGCTACCATCATACCAATACAAATTTGGGGAAAAAAACCCCAAAACTTGAAAAAGCCTAATTAGCTACAATGTCAATGTTTTCTCTGTATCAAAGTCACACGGGTAGCTGCGTCCTGTATCAAATACATGGAAACAAATAGATGGCATACTGGAATCAAGCACCCTTGTGCACAGCACTGATCATAGGACAAGCAAACTAACAGACTGCCAGCTGCAGTAGTTTCATCTTCTGTGAAATCTTCTGTGTTTTTTCCTAATATCTGCACTCCTGGATTCATGTGATTGTCCAAAACCCTGTTTTCCTCAACAAAAAAACCCCCATGAACCCCCCCCAAAACAAACAAACAAACAAACAAAAACAACAAAAAAAGAAAGAAAGAAATTTTCTATTCCTATCACCTGATGGTTTAAAAATAATGAGATTAAAAGCTAATCCAATTTATTTAATTTATTTGATTTTTAAATGTTATGATTATGGAGAGGGATGAGGAAAGACTGGTTCGTGATGGTAGAATGTCTGGAAATGTTTGGCAACGATGGCCCTGGGAGGGTCAGGGACAGGGCTACCCCCAGAATGCAACTCGCACATGCAATTGTGATTTCTACATATAAACTGACTTCTTCAAAATATTTCTGTATATATTGCTAGTACTGTTAATATGCTGATGTCCAATAATGTAATAGTCTGATTTTTTTCCTTCTATTGTGTGCAGATATCCAAGGCTATTTCTTGTGCAGCAATACTGCGCAAAGCAGGATCTTACTCTGCAGACACATGAGGGAAAAAAAGTTGGAGAGGGAGCCAGTACTGTGGCTTAAGAATTTTCCTCTTTCTCTGTTTCTTCTGCTGATGAACACTTGTTTGCAACAAACCACAGAACTGCCTACAGCCAAGGTCAATTCCCTATAAAAGACTAGAAGAGGTGCAGACACTAACTTGGACGGATATATTTGCGGAGAGTACTGGTGCGCTGATCTTGGACTGTAGCCACTACTTGTTATTACTGCAAAACAGAAAACAAGAGTACAGCAGTTAGAAACACCATGAGACCGATACATCCAAACAGCAGCATTAACAGAGAAGCTTATTGAAATACACAGCTTTTCAAGGAAGCAGATGTCCCTTGAACTGCAACATCTTAATAAAAAAATTAAAAAACTGTAAATCATTCATTGCTATGCGGAACCCTCTAGTTAGCATGGAGGTGTTGTGCTTTTTCAGCTTGACTGACACATTTCTGAGTATACTGCAGAGGCGTGTATTTCATACATCATCTGTGATCCACACACCGTAGATCGTTCAAATTTGCAAGCTGCATTAAAAGGGATAGTTAAAAAGAAGCTTGTGATTTAACATATGGTATTGAGATAACATACACAAACCTTTAAAGGCTCACATTAACAAGTTCAATTTTAATACTGGATGGAAAAGCATGTTTTATATGGTTGTTGCTAATTTTAGTCAGCTTAGGAAGACACTGGGCTGATCACAAGAAAGCAAATATCATTCTTTATAGACAGGCAGATTAGAATACATTCGCTAACAACAATATTTTTACTGTGAAGTATGGATAAACAGTCTTGTTCAGTAGCCATCCAAATTGTGTATGTCTATACTATTCACAGCTGCATTCTTCCAAAAAAGCTAACAGAACAATAGTCATAACCAATTAAAATTTCATTCAGAAGCGATGCTCACACTGGATTAATTCCAAGTGTTTGGAAGTTTCTCTTTCCCTTAGCCATCTGTCTTGACTAAGACAGATGTATTCCAAATATACGTACTCTAAGTGTTGAACCAATCCCTTCAGAGCAAATCCATACTGGGCAAACATACAGAGTGTCTTTATTAGGCCATCTGCTGTTCATTCACTTTTCAAAAGATTAAAGTAGTACACAACGAAGCACTGGAATTTCTTTAGTCTAATCAATCATAGTTGTACTTCAAAGTGTACCCTCTTCCTGAGTTATTCGTAATGGTAGTAGAAATGAACATTCAGAATTATATAAGTGACAAATAGGTTTAGGTTCCTAACTATTTTATGAAACATGATATATTTCTACATCCAGGCCTAATTAACGTCTTTCAGATCTATTGCTGTGAACATATGCAGAGCTTGATATTTTTAAAGCTAGTTTAAATGCATTTAGAATGTATAGGACTTAAAAGGAAAATACAGTAGAAGAAAAACAATTAACTTCTTTTTAAAATGTGCAGTTGAGTATGGCTTGAAAGTGAAGAAGAACTGGATAATAACTTTTAAAGCATGTGCCATCAGATTTCACGAAAGAGTTGCTGTTTGAAAAGGTACTGACGGTTTGCCCATGATAAAAATCTGCTAAATTTCATTTTGTGTGGTTCTTTTTTTTTTTTTTTGAGAATGCCTTTCCATAGTTTAAGCTCAACTCACAGAGTAATCCGCTACATGTGCAGGCAGCTATTCCCAGAGTTAGACAAACCTATAGCTGTATCTATCAACATAATCAGTCCACAGAACTCTAAAGGAAGCTCGCAGTTATTTAAGGCTCAAAGAGCAATTACTCTTCCCTTTTGTATCTCTGTGACCTTTCTAAAGACAAGCAATAGCTAATAGAGTGACCTTGGTGATTCTCAGGACAAGGAACTTTTGTGATCCATTATTGGCTTATTGGATCACTTTTGCCCATACTGCTCCACTTTTTGTCTGATCATTTGCTGTATAAGAGTTCACTTGAATAATCAGTTTGGTTAAAGCACATTTACCATGCCACCACACCCTATGTAAACTACAAAAGAACTTAATTACTATTAATTTAGATCACTTGAGCTATCAAAACCTAATGTTTTTTAAAAAAAACCTGTCCCGCCTGCTTTTTTTTTTCTTTCTGCATATGTCTTATTTTAAAAATTCAGAGAAGAAAATAAAATACTTTTGGAATATGTCTGGTTTTAAATTTCCTTTTCTTTCTTTTTTCCAATTTTCCCAATGAAAGGGAAGTTGTAAGGAAGAAAAAGAGGCAAGACTAAAAAAATCTGTTTTTTTCACTCTTTCTCTGTAGTTTGTCCCAGCAATTTGTGTACTACATTTTACACTATAAGGTGTTTGAGAAACACAGGGTGTAAGGCCTATCATAAGAGAACATTATGACTGAGTGGACTCTGTGGACTTCATCTGTATCTCATAGATCAAACTGGTAACTCTAAGGGTTATCAAACTTAAACAACTTTGACTACCTCCTAACCCTACTTCTGAGGACTGGTGGAAATGGAGGAAATGGTGGAGGCTGGTTGCTGTGGGTTTGGTAACTGTGCCACTGTAAATAGCCATTTAAATGAATGGGGCTACATGCTGTTTTGTGTTACTTATATTAAAACAACAAAAACCCACCAAAATTGTTTCCTCTCTGAAAAAGTCAATTATTCCTAAGCTTTTACTATTTGAATTTATCAGAGGAATGTTCTTCAGGGCAGGTATAAGACCCTTGATCTCTCCAGTTCCCCTACGGCACTGAGGGCATATTCCACTCCCCAGTAGCATTGTTTCACAGAGAAGGGACAAGAAGGCTGACAGCCAGCCCTTACCAGTTACTCTCTCACATCAGCTGGCCAAGGTGACTGTGGGGGATTTAAATGACCATTAACTGTTTTAATAACATGTCTTGGGTTCAGTATATTAACACAGGTTGGAGTTTTGTATTTTTTCATTACACATCTGGAAAATTCCATGTAAAAAAGTTAGATTAAAAGGACCTCACTTAAGTAACATCACAATCTCTATGCACAAGTCAACCAAATGTAGGTTAAACAGCAGTTAAACAGACATTTCCTAACTTCACCTTTATAGCCTTCAGGAACTGTTTTCTATATCCTTTTTTTTTTGTGTAATAAATCCTAAGTAAAAAGGATAATGAGATCAACAAGTATCTTTCTCTCCATTCCATTAAAATAACAGTTCTTAAATTAAATCCACTATTGTAAGCCATATATACACAAGAATGCATGCACTCACAGTACAGCAGCTGCAACAAATTCACAGTGTATGAAAATCTCAGTTCAAGGCTGTGCACCTCCCCATATCCTGTGAATGCTACCCCGGTGGGAGTCTGCTGAAGAACCACAAAGCTTCAAACCAAGTACACTGATATTAATTACCAACTGTTCTTCTTTGAAGAAAAAGGAAGAGGAAGGGGGATGCACAGTGCGACTCCTCACCTGGCTAACCCATGCTAAGAGGTTTGGCATGGATTCTCCCAGGGGCAGCTCTGCAGGACAGGGGAATTGCAGCCCTGATTTTGAGCTGCAACACCTGAACTGCAGCCCCGAGCAGGAGCATGCCCAGTCCCAATGGCCTGGCCAAGGCCACTAGGGCAACTGTCACTCTAACTTCAAGAGACCTACACACTTTGTCTTTCTGACTTTTCAGTCAACAGAATCACAGTTTTCTGTGGAGTCTAATCTATCTCTCCCACCCTATACCTCACACACTCTGTTTGACCAACACTTTCTGTGTTACAGCTGGTCATTAGGGACAGAGCTGACTACTTTACACCCCACAGGGTTTTTTCAGCCTTCTGGTCAGTTCCAGGACAAGTCACATGTTTTGACTGCCCTTGGAGCATGAAAATCAATTTTAATGGGTAGAGCATTTGAAAGAGAGGATTTCTGCATGGCAGAGTCTCAGCTACAGTTCTCTTTTCATCCATGTCTGATGTAATAAAATATTTAAGAATACACCTAAATCCTTCCCTACTTAACGAAGAACACTTGAGTGCTTCTGACCAATGCTTGTACAAGACAGAGTAGATAACAGCGGCCTATGTGTCTGTGCATCCTCACGAAATGAGAGCACAGGTCCTCTGAGAGCTGCAGGAAAGTACCAGCATTATCACTCTGTCATAGTTGGGAATAACACACGTATGTACCTGACTGTAAGGAAAAAACAAACTGTTCAGTGTTGGGCTTTGTTATGCATTTTTTTCAGTTGCAGTTGGCTCATCTGAAATGACATCTGCCTACTAGTCAGTATTTACTGTCTTTGGCAACCCATTAAACTTCTCAAATAACCAGTTAGGTTAAAAAATCAAGAGAAATACTGTTTTTGTTGAGTTTTTATTGTTCTTTAGCGCTTCTCCCACAAACCTAAAGTCAATGAAATTGTCCAATCTGCAAGTACCAATAAAAGGCAAGTGTGAAAGTAAAGCATTCAATCTTTATGAAAGGCTTGGTGCATTGTCAAGGCAGATCAGCGCCTCGCTCTGATGATGAAGACTGCACGTCACCCAGACAGGCAGACTATCGATTTCCCACTGTGAATGACTGTACTCATTTAATGCTTGAGCTTGTGGACTAAACTGAGAATCAGGTTCATATTTCTTTTGAGTATGCAGGTGGCTAACAGGCAAAAAAGGACTGTGCAAGGCTCAAATTCCTGTCTTTTTTTTTTTTTTTGGAGGCACCAACTTTCCAAACATCCAAAGTGTAGAGATCTCAGCACTTCTTTGAAGTCAGTGGAAGCTGATGGGTGAGTGACACCTGGGAAAATCAGGCTGTTACTTAACTATCTAAACTTGAACTGGAGGCTGCAGTTTTTAGTACCCCAATGTTGCCTTAGCCATGTTTTACACATGGAATACAACTCAGCTGCCTTACATACATGGCAGAAGCTGATAAAATTTCACTGACAATGACAAAATCATATATGTGGTTGGACATTTTATAATCTGTAATCATTCCTAATAAAATCCTAGCATTGAGTAACAAAAGAGTGAAAAAGAAAAGCTAAATTTTAGTCAAGATTATTTGATATTTTATGGAACTTGTTAGACTTCGTTGTGGTTGATGTGGTTCCTTTCAGTCTAATTATAATGGAGACAATGTTTTCATCAGAAATAGTATACACTTGCTTTAAATCTCACTAATGACCTTTTCTTCAGGCATTATATTTGTTATAAGTATTTTTTTGAATAATCAACTTTGGAGTATAACTGATGCCTAAAAAACCAGAAACATACACTCATTTTAAAACAAATTTAATTACACAGAAACACTGTGATTTCCAAAATATTTTATATATGGTTTGACTACCTAAGTCTACCAAAGTAATAGCATCAATGTGAGTGGCAATTCCTGGCTTCATGGACATTTCAGTCGAGCATTACTGAACTGGTATTTTCAGATGTAAAATTTACTCTCCCTCCTCTCCTTGTTAATATTATTATTAGCAGGATTCAACTTAATGATTAGAAGGCAGATTATCTGTACTTTTCCACAGTTCATCACATTTTAGTAATTTATAGGAATATACTTAAAAACTGCTGTTTGTTTGATTTTTTTAAGAAGTAATTGAAACATGATTATTTAAAGTAAAATATAAACTTTATTTTCATGGAAAGAAAGTAGCTCACTGTAATGGAAAGAAAGTAATTTATGGTAATCTGGTCAGCATTTGTACTAACACACTGCTCACAGGAGTAAAACAATTAGCAATGAGATATAACCCTTAAGATTTTAAATTTTACAAATTAGCATGGCTGTTACGAATACAATCCATTTTTCCTCCCAAGATCATGCATGACTAACCCTGAGAAAAAACTCTACAGTACTATAATAACAGTATTGCTATAACATTTTTGCATACAACAATCGCCTTAGGAATCATGAAAGCTTCTTTAAGATCCCACCTCATGTAAATGGCAGAGTTGCACTTACAAAAATGAAAAAGTTATTATTATTTTTATTATTATTAGGTCTTAAAATGTTACTTTATTGTAGCTTTTTAAAAATTGCTTCCATGCAGTTCAATAGTGAATGTTATTAAATGCTACAATAATGTGCATCTAACAAAACGTGATCTTATTATGGCTTTACCTGACCCAGTAAAAGTGTCAAGCGATCCATCTCCAGTTGTTGTTGTTGTTTCACTGTTGTTCATGGGTTCTGTTTTGACTGCAAGAAGAGACACTACATAGAAGAATAAGTAGACATGAGATTTTACTTCTAAATTTGTACTGGAGTCCTCATGCCAGTCGCACTAGTGGTAGTCCAGCTAGAACAAGCATGCGTGCAAAAGCTTTAGCCTTTGCTCTATCACCGAATTGAGACAATCTACACTAGCTCTGTCTGGAATGGACATGCATCTACATAGCTTTTTATCTGTCTATTTGTCTAGCTATTGGTTTTAGCAATTGGAATATCTTCTGGGGAGATTTCAACCTACATTTAATTGATTCTAACAATTCCCTAAGAGTAGCAGAGAGGAAGGAAACATTAGCTGTCAAGGGATGTAGCACATAACAAAAATAGTTTTGCCTGACAAGTAAAACAATTATAATATGGTTTCATGCTCATATAGAAGCAAATTACTTTCACAGTGCCAGCATGTTGCCTTTCCCCTTCCCCTTTTACAGAGTCTGTGGGGGCCTTTTTGAGCTAGGTTACCAGCAAGCAATTTTCCATAAAGGAAGAGAGAAGTTTGAAAGGAAAAAAAGCCAAAGAACTAGAGTAGGACACAAAAGGCAGCCACAAGTCAGCTTCTAAGTCAGAGGTTACCAAACACTTGGGTCCACTCTAAACTCAAATTACTTTTTACAGATCATCATGCAGTCTTAACATCCAAGTTATAACCGAAAGTACCACAGAGGCAATACAGATTTTATAGTTAATATGTTACCTGGACAGAACATTTGGCATGGACTTTTGTAATGGAGTTTGGGAACCACCACATCTAATTGATGTGGTAAGAAACAGCAGTACAGAATACACTGTAGCTTTTAATAGCTGACTGACTGACAAATATGGAAACCCTTGACATATTATCATAATTTCTTTGTGAAGGTCAATTAGGGTTGGGCATGAACATTCATCACATATATATCAGCAACATGTTTACAGATATCACAGGACTGGTAGGTGCCCAGGGGCACAGAGAGAAGTTACAGTGAGGACCTTCACAGGCTACTGCCACAGTTGTATGCCAGATATTGAAATTCTGAGTACACAGCCTGGGATTTGTGAAGAAGCCTTTGCTGTGACAGCTGGGCTGGCAGAGCCCCCTCAGCAGGTCTAACACATGCCAAAGAAAGGTGTTTTCTGCCAGCTGGTTACCTGATGCCTCTGAGGGGCATCAGCTAAGCTGACCAAAGCTCTCATCTGTCAACATCACTGCATCCATGTTTGACTTCACTGGCAGTGGTATGGGAAAGGCGAGAATTTCATGTTCTGAGCCGGCAATATATTTAAAAACTATGGCTCAGATTCAAGTCACCTAACTTAGGCATATAAAAGGTGCCTGCTAATCTCCCTTCATGTTTAGTTGAGACATAGGGGTGCTTCCAGAGGTTGATTCAGTCCAAGAACAGCCTGAGCTGCCCTCAAGTTCACCATCCCTCTTACAGTCTGTAGAGGAAAAGGTAGTGGATGAGCTAAATAAAGGATTTTGTTTTCTCATGGGGAGAAGGTCCAGAACCCGCAGATCCATTCTGCTGTTCTTGTTTGTGTCTGTGAGCACAGCAAGCTGTTCATCGGGAACTGCACAGCCTGCTGTGATGAGCCCCGCATGAGTTACCTCTCCTACAAAATCACATCCCATTTCCAGTCACACTGCTTAATGGACCTTACTTCAGTAAGTCATATGGGATGCTACTGACATCTACAACTGTACAACTGACCTACACCTGTTTAGATCAAGCAGATGAATTGGGATGGATATATTTGTCCCTGAGACAGGGAGAGCGCCCTGCCGCATTGCCGGTGCCCTAGTGCCAATCAAACTAAGTAACATCTTCGTGCTTAAGTTGTATCTTTAAAAAATATTTGAATGTTTGTCTCTTGAAAGTAAACTTCTTTTCATTACTGTTTCTCTTTAGTAAAACTACCACACTCATATAGTCTCCCTGCAAGCAGGAGGATATTAATTCAATATGGCATCATCAGGGAAGAATTATAGCCACATTTTTTCAAGCTGTTGTGCACTCGTTCTCATTCTGCTAGCTATTATTTTCTCATTAAAAAAAAAAAAAAGCTGTGACAAAATTACCCAAAATGAACGAAGTCATTCATAAGAGTAATCAATCATTCCCATTTCTATATTTATATGAGAAAGATGTGATTTTATTTTTGCCAGATCAATTAAACACAAATCAAGAAAAAGCTTAAGTGTCATTTGTCACAAAATGATTTCCTCCATTGAACCTCTCAGTCATATGGAACATGTATGGTTGCCTGAAGCATGAAAAGTAATTAAATTTATTTTCTGATTACTACATACGGATGCCTCCACGTACTTCTACAAAGTGTGGACACCCACCCACATGAAAAAAAGTACTTTTTAGTACCTTTATCTCTTTCTATTCAAGATGGGCACTATTGCCCATACCAAGCTACAAACCTATGTTGAGTACTGCATCTAGAAAGACAGTATGTGTTTAACTGTTATATTTAACAAAAACTTCAGTAATGAATTTAAATGTTTACTTTAGAATTGTGTCTAGTTCTGGTTTATGCCAGCTGCAGTGCACTTCCATCAGCACCAAGAGGCACCATCTATTTTCTGTCCCTGTCAAGCAGCAAAGAATCAAACCCAAAAAACTCTCTCCCGTACTTAACTTGACAAGTGCAAATGATCTTTTGTACTCAAGTCAATTTTTTTCCGGTAAATTTTCTGTGGATGTGTTTTACAAAAGGTAAGCTAATTCAGAGGGGTTTTTTAAAAGGAAAGATTTTGAGATCTTCCTAACTTTAGTCCAAAACTGCACAACTTAAGCACCTTTGTAATGACTTGTAGAGAAACGCAGTGGTGCACATTTACAGATATGATTAATCCTGTATGTACTGCAACAGTGTCACATACAGAATTATTAATCATTACAACTCATGACAATTACTAATACACGTCGGTAAACTCGTAAATGGCAACAACAGCTTGGAAAATTTGGCCAAATGTTTGTAAAGTTGCAAGTTACATGTAGTAGCACACTAGACATAAGCTTTGATTAATAACTAGAATTGTAGTAGAATAGTAACAATAATGTCAACCAATAATGCTCAGGTAATCATGCAATGCTGTACTTAAAAACAAAAGAAAAGAAAAGGGGCATTCTGTGAAAATTCCATTGTCTGACTTCCACTAATGTCGACTACTGGCTATTCCCAGCAATGTTGAACACCACGAGACAATCCCAGCCTCTCAGAACATGTAGACAGTTAAGCTAATTATAAGTGGGTTAAGTTCTCCTTGCTCATCAAATTACTTTCAAAGCTTTGTAAGATAACTATTTATTGCAACTTCCTGCCAGTTTCCTGGCTGTGGGAAAAGCCTCTTAGAAGGGGTAGGAAAAAAAGGACTGGGAAGAAAACCCCAGGAGAATGTTCAAACTGCATAACAAAAGAACAGAGCAAACCAAGAAAGATGTCACACAGCAGTCACAGAGACACACCACCACACACCACCACACACATGCACTGTACCAGGGTCTCTCATACTTGTTGCAGAGGAGGGAGTACTACAACTCAGCAACCAGTCTGCAGTATTTAACACAGTCATGTTGTCTCCTGAGAACAGGAATGGTATAACAGTTCATTATCCCAATGTCTGTTCAGTGTACCTGAGAAGTCCTCAACGCAATTAAGTGCCTTAAGTCTTTTAACTGCACTGTATTGTTTTTATGGGTATTATTTTAACTGGTTTATTTATGCATGTATAATATAGAGGCATCTAGTTATCAGAGTTCTTTAATGGTATGTTTGAAGTTTTCTCTTCTCTTTTTTGCTGGAATAAGGATTCTATTTAAAAATGTGATTCAGCCCTTCTTTGCAGAGCTCTGTTACCCTCACAAGCACATACACTTTTTACTCACACTGACAGACTTTTTTGAAAATTGGGATAAGTGAATAAAATGCTCTACATTGCGGTCAGAAAGAACAAACTAAAAAAAAAATTTCTTAGTGTAAATTGTTAAAATAGACAGCAATGTATAAACTCTAAAAAAGAAGGCTGAAACTCTAGCTTGACATCCACGGTGTCATTTTCATGGACTGCACCTCAGAATGTGGTACTCTGCCTCCCACTGCTCCAACTCAGCTATGGTATAACCGATTATCTGAAAGCATTGGAACATCTGTGTTGTAGCTGCATGATAGTGCTGTCCCTACAGTAACACTTACAGCAGTAATAACCAGCTACTTCTGAGGAAAATGTAACAATCTCTTTATGAAAAACTTCCATTACCTCCCGAGAAATGGAATTCATCATGAAAAAAAATTACCTAAACCTAATTTTGATGCACTTCTTTTGACAGTGATTTTAATTTAACCTAACTACCTATGTAGTTCAGGGTGTAAGAGTAAATTATTATTCATCAATGAAAAATGACACAGAAAATGTAATTTATTTCAAGTTACCAACAGGTATAAGCAAGCCTTTAACACTGTGTTCAAGTCAACCATTCCTAATCTTTCGTTGTTTCACCTTTGCAACTTGTTTCAGTTCTGCCTCTTACTTCAATTGGTGCAAACTGAAGAAGTGGTTATACTTTTATGACTGCCATTTTTTCATAATTCTTGCTGGGTACTTATAAATGGGTATATATCATTCTTGAAATTATGCTAAAAAATGCATATGACTAAAAACTAGCCAAACCTTTGTATGTGCCAGCAGTGTCTTATACTTACCTCCTGTTCCATTTGTTGTAACTGATGTGCTACTAAGACTAGACTTATCCAGTTTGGAACTACCTGGTGCATCACTACTTCCAACAAGATTATGAGGACTGGCTAGATCCTGCATTTCCATAGACCTGTTAAAAAAGAAGATGACAGTATTATGGACTATTATTACTAGAGTATTACTATTATCTGCTTTTTCTTTAATAACTTTTTTTATATGGAGAGTTTGCAATGTAGTCAGATTAATAAATTAATACAGGTTCCTTTGACATCTTCTTTGCTTTTTACCAAACCTAGGAAAGTAGCTAATAATTTTATATGAATAGCAACAATGCCAGTATTTTTCTCTTTTCCTGTAGGTATTATGAAGTGACATAGGCTTATGAAACTGCTCAAAGAGCTTGTAAAAGATGTGCATGAGGGAGTGCATATATATGGATGGACAGAGGGAGAGATGAATTGATAAATTCAGGTAATAGGTACTTCTTAGAAGAAAACAGAGAAATTTGGTGAAAAGTCAGTCATTACAGAAAGTCAAAATAGGAACTTCTGCCTCCTGCTATCTGTATTCCAACCACCAGCAGTCACTGCATCCACACTAAATCACAGGTACAGGCCATACAAGCGAATGAATAGAACTTTCATGTACATCTGGAAGATTCTTCACTCTTAAAAATATGTATATTCTAATTAGATCACTTATTCTTGTTTTGTTCTGAGCAATTTCTAGGAAGCTTGCAAAATTTCAAGTGGATTAGATTGCAACGGATTCCAGCATCACAGTTACACTGGGAGCCTGTAGATGGCTTTAAAGCAGTGATAACAGATTTGCCTTTTGCAGACAAAGCAGACAAGGAACATTTCTTGTCAAACCAGTAATTGCAATCCAATTTGCAGTGTATGTTCACTTATTCCTTGCTTCATTTATAAATTAGACAGATTTTTTTTCCGCCAAAGAAACATTTTTGCTATATATAAGCAAAATTGCCAGCCCATCTGCAACAGGAGAACCATTCACCATATGTATACTGCAAAGGCCAACAGGAAGATTGTCTTACAGAGATGTAAAAGCTAAATTACATTGTACAAGGCTGAGATGGCTAGGAAAGAGATGAACAGTTGGGATAGTTCAGTAAGAACAATGGCTCTTGTATATTCATATTCTGACTAGGACAATCAGTGGCAAATTGTTAAGGCAACACCCAGCATCTTCAGTATTTATTCCAAATTTCACTTTGAAATTACCTATATTCTGTGCTCCCACACATCCCCCTCTGTGGGGGAAAAAACCCAAACAAAACCCCACTACCTTTCCATCAAATATGAGTGTGCTATTTGAATCTACATTTCTTCCCTCCAGAGAATGAAATTATCTCCCATTTTGTGCTCCTAATTCTGCTGATCTCCTGGATGCTTCAGCCTTCCTCACATCACGTTCATTTAACCCAAGATACAGATTCAGAGCCTTCATGTACTGAATATGCTCAAGAAAATGTAGGAAATACTACATCTCAACTGGGAAAATGAACAAAGGCCTTACCCAAAGGCACATGAAGTAAAGAATCTCATTTACTCAAGTAAATGCCTATGTCAACCACGATATGCACCGATACACCACTGGCAGGATAGCCTTCCCAGCAGCAGTCTGGATGAGCAGGGAAAAACTGATCTTGTTGGAGGCCATGCATCAGCAGGTAAGAATTTTACAGCCATATTCAAGGAAATGCCAAGGCATAAACTGAGATTTGAACTGCATTGAACCCAATTTCTTCATCTAGTTGTATACACATTTCTACACATCTGTCAGCAGTGAATTATATTTATTGTCTACTGGAAATGTGATCAGTGTTAGATGAAATAAAATGAACTCAAGTTGTTTACAAGTCTGTCAATTTTTGTTTAGTAGTTTCGGTACACGGATAGCAGCTAAAGGTTAAAAAAATTCCGTGAGTTTCCATCTTGTATGTATTTAAGGGAGCAGAAGAATGCTAAATGAAATAAACAATGCATGTTTCATTGCATATACAGTGTAATGCTCCCCACGTGTTCGCTTAGCAGTTTTAAATGCCATGATTTCCTGTTGAAGTATGATCAGCCCACAGATACCTAATGGGCAGTTCCAGCTTAGAAAGTTCACATCTGATTTTTTTTCTTGGTCAGCATGAAAAAATTACAATAATTTCTTTTCAGACAGGCATATATCATCACCACAGATGCAAATACTTCAGCAGTATTTGATAAGCAAAATTACTGGTTTATGCAGATAGTGTGTATAAGAAATATCCATCTTAAGCACTTTTTACACTCAAATGAATCAGACTTTCTTAATCAGAAGACTAAGTCCAGTGACTCTCATTTGCTTGGCAAAGAATATAAACAATCAAACTTTGTAAAAGGAATAGTTTTTGTTTCAAGCCAGTATGAAACCTTCTGTGCAGAAAAGTAGACTTATCATTCTAATTTGTTTTCTATAACATATGGCATCCCAGCCCACAGACATGGCAAGTTAAATTAACTAAAACTATTTTAGAGGTAGCGCATTCACAGACATTTTCTCTGTATGAGTAAAACACATCTTGCACTTATTGGTAGTCTATTAAGAATAAAAAGAATATCCAAAGCAATAAAAAGTTTCACAGAACCATGTGTATATTCTACTTATCCTAGGTGCTCCATCCTGTGTGAGCAAGTACAGGGATTACTTTAATATATCCCTATGTGATTTACTTATTGAAGTACACTACTTTCTGTGTAACACATGTCATTCAATTCACCTTTCTGGATGCATTTCGTTTACCTTTAGCCTAAAAAATTCTCAGGAAGATGTAACAGACTTACTAAAATCTTACCTTTCAGTGAATGGAGGATTCAGGAAAAATGCCTAGGAAAATGGATGAAATAATTCCAACATCTTGAATTCATTTTGTCAAACTAAATGTTTATCAGAGTACTGCTTTCACTGACTTAATCAGAAGCAGGTTCAGGTTCAGTATGTGCTTTCATGCACTAAAAAAAAGTTTAAAAGGGAGATCTCTGAAAGACCAATTAATACTTTTAAGTTTATGCAGCTATTTATTAGAGAATGTTTTTCAGTAAATGCAATGTATTTCAATTCAGACATAATAAAGTCTATTGATAAAGCTGCTTAAAATACTACACTATTTTAAAATAATGTACTACAACATTATTTTACATGTTTTGCTTCTCTGCCAGGCACATAACTGTTAGTGCTTTAGTTTTCCCCCTCCTCCATTGTGTCAGACCTCTTTTTAGAATAATTATGTAAAATGCTAAATTGTATAAAAAGATAAATTTTGGAAGGAAACACATTACTTGGTAAGAAGATGTTTTAATTATCTCTTGACTGTTTGAAGAAGGTTTGCATGATTGCCAGTTCCTGAGCAAAAACTCAAAACCTGGCAAGATGAATTTGTCTTTTATTCTGTTTTGGCTATGCTTAAAGTCTTTGAAAATTGTTATTTGCACGTGCTTAGTGGATCATTTCAGAGGCTTACTGGAAAAGTCTATAAAACATCCCATTTCAAAAAACAGCCTCCTAGTTCTCAGTGGGCTTTAACTCCAACCTGTGGACAACCCTACCACATTGAAGCAGGTTTGTATCAAATATACGGCTGTGTGGAAACCCTGGGCCTTCCCCATTAAAGCAATTTTTGTTCCCAGGCTTGAAGTTACATCTTTTCAAAGGTTAGCCTATGCTCATATGCGGATCAAGGAACAGCATCTAAAGAGAAAAATTCCACCCTCTTCTGTCCCACTTTTACAAGGGTGGATGAACAGAATTTGTGCCACACCCCAGACCACCGAAGTGCACAGCCAAGCACGATGACCCAACCTTGCACAGGAAGGTTTAAGTACAGCTAAATATAATTGCCCCATTTAACAACTCCATCTCTGTATTTCTGTATAGCTCTAACTTGTGTTATTTCAACAGTAAAAAGCTCAAGCCTTGCTTCTACGGTTATGTTTTTAAAATTCCTCTTTTCTTCTTTTTCCGTTCATTACAATCACATATCCATTTGTGCACTGCTTTTCTTCAGTAGAGTTAAAATCTATTTTCAGAAAATCTGTGTTGTTATAACTCTGTTATCCATTTGCATTTCCAATTTAACTATTATGAACGTGGACTGTGAGCTGGGTCCTTCCACAGCTTGTAACTCTATTGATTATTCACTAATTCTACAAGTAGATTATATTTAGATAATTTTCTTCTTGTGAAAACTTCAAATCCCAGCCTAACCAGAACATTTTAAAAATACTAATTCCTCTCTGTGAAGAATTTATTGCAAATTCCAAATTATAGGAATATTGAAAGAAGGACTGGTTAAAGGCTATTGAAATTGAAATAATTTCATTTAGTTTAGAAATTAATTATAAAAAAAAATTTAAAATGATTTTGCAGGATTTTTCTTTTTAAAATTCTTTGATAGGAAATTCACTACACAACTTTCTTTAGAAGAATCTTATTAAACTTCATTGTGGAAAAAAATACATGTTTTTTATTAGTAATATTAGTATTATTACTTTTGTTTGGTTGTTTTGGTTTTGTTTGTTCTGGGTTTTTTTGTTAGTTTCTCCCCCTGCTCTTCTTATATCCCTCCTGTCGTAACCCCAGTCCTTACATATCCCAAACTTTCTCACTTTCTGGAGCCTTGTCCAATCAGGATGACAGCTACCTTGGAGCTTCTGAAATTAAACAAATGGGGAATTTCCCTTTATTTAAAATTAACTTTTTGCACAATATGAAGGTTGGGTAACAGAGCTGTTCAAACTCAGCTAAAACTGTTTCCTACTGCTGTCAGCTCAGCTCTCAGACCAACTACATTGTTTTGAAGACAAGCAGAGTCATTTTTTTTTCCATTTCCCACATATATTTTTTTAGCCTGGTCTTTCAGGAACTTTCTGAACAGGACTAGCAAGCTTACCTCTCTTTCACATGCAGTCTGAACTAGCTCATACAAGCCTTTCATGCTGACAAAAAAATCAAAATGGATGCACATACACAAAAGTCATTAGTTCAATAAAATCTACATAAAATCTGCAATAAAGTTTAAAACAATCAATAACGTAGATACATCATAATTATAAAGGTGTTTTTTTCTTAGTGTTTTGA